CTGTTTAGTTCTAAAATTTTAGACTTTTCTTTTTCTTCCTATTATCAATTATGATTAAAGGTTCCAGAAAAAATTAAATTAAAGCACAATATGTCCAAAACTTATGAAATGAAAAGGGTGGCTTACAGTACTAATACAATACACTTGGACTTACTAGAGACAGCAGTGGAGTGTGTGCTGAAGCTTGGAGAAGGGTGAATGTTACAGGAAGAGTTACTTAAGACAAATATGCAGAACTGGTCATGTTGATCTTCTCTGATAATGTATGTTCTTGTTGACATTTGTTTCAAGTTTAAGCCCAATTCATCAACACTGTAAACTAGTTTGGGAGTGTAACCACCTCCTTCAATGGTTTATTTTGATATTAGAGGATATTGTTTGGCTGCTTCATTCTCTGCACTTGCCACCTCACCAACCATCTTTATGTGCAGGCTGCAATGGTGGTTAAAGCACTCAAAACCACCCACTGCTTACTTCAAAATTTAATGCTATTTAACTCTCACCATGTTCTTCCTATAAGTCCTCAAACAATGATAGTACTTTCTGATTTATCAAGATGTTCATGGGTCACTTAATTTCTCAAATCAAACAGATTTGACACTTGCATTTTCACCTCTAAACTGTTGATTTTCAAGACTCTCACTGGTCTGAGACGCCACTACTACTGTACTTAAAGGACGCTGTCCACTTATATTTGCATGGGTTGCTTAAGGTCTAAAGCTGTAAATGTACAATAAATTTGCATGATATAAGTAGGTATATCAACATTGGTTACATGTTTTGTAGGTCCCAATGTTATGAAAAAAAAAAAAAGCATTGAATGTAATGAAACGCCATTTTTTGGGCGAGCCCTGGAGCTATCGTACTGATATGTGATATCTTAGTCTAGGGCATTAGTCAATGGAGTTCTGCCTACCGGGGACCACGAGCCAGAATCTGGCTCCCCTCAGAGAGGCACAGGGAGTAATGGTCTCTGGAAAAACCCTGTGGTTGAAGGTATTCCTTGTCTGCCATCGACCAGGGTTAGGCACTCAGAAGGGTAGGCATAAAAAAAGTTCTCAATATCCGGCCAAAATGGGGATGGAAGCTGGATAAAAGCTGGTTTAGCCAGATAAAATATCGGAGCAGGTTAACTTGCTGCCGATGTTACACTATCTGGACAGTCAGCTGGATAATCATTGAATTGTCCGGATATGAAAGCCATGGGGCGGGCCGTACCGTATTAATCGCGTCTGCCTGTGGCTCGAGGTGGAGGAGGGGGTGGGGTGGGTGGGTGGTGGGAGGGACCACCTGGGGGAATAAGGGAGATGTGGAGCGGCCTATACACTACAGTACAGGAATTACCATTAATTTTAGAACAATTCATCATAGCCAAAATCAAAAGAAATACTAGTAATTATGTAATAAAAAATACCATACAAGTTTCCTAAAAACAATTTGCACAGGCTGAAGTTTCCTTAAAAAATATTATTTTTTTTCTGCTAGTGGCCTACGTAACGTGCCTCCGTGCCCAGACTGGACCCGTCTATGCCTGGTCAAGCCATGTGCTCTCAACCCTCATGTTATACCACAGTGCCGTGCCATTAGCGAAATATTTTTTTAAATAACTTATTTATTTTCATAGTAACCTTGAACATTTTTGGCCAAGACTATGTCTGGTAGCAGCATCAATCGTTCTGGAGGAGTTAAGAGGAAGAAGTTAAGGTTGTCCTAACAATTAAGGTCAAGTTACGTGTTATACAACTTTGCGAAAATGGCCTGTCGACTTCAAGTGGCCAGTCGACTTCACCACCAGTCTCCGTGGCATAGTGGTAAGACACTCGCCTGGCGTTCTGCGAGCACTTTGTCATGGGTTCGTATCCTGGCCGGGGAGGATTTACTGGGCGCAAATTCTTAATTGTAGCCTCTGTTTAACTCAACAGTAAAATGAGTACTTGGTTGTACAAGCGATTCTTCGCGGCGGGAATCATATTCCAGGAACCTGCCCGAAACGTTACGCGTACTAGTGGCTGTACAAGGATGTAACAACTCTTGTATATATCTCAAAAAAATAAAGTGTTGCCAAGGAATTTAATATAGGCACTAGTACTGTTTCTGATATAAGGAAACAAAAAAAGAGGAAATTCTGAAATACACTTCAACCTGTGAAAGTGCAAGCACTAGCAGAGGGAGTGGTAGAAAGACTATGAAAACTTCGACGCACATGTAGTTGGATGAGGCTGTGTACAAGTGGTTTGCTCAGCACCGCACAGCTGGCGTGACAATTCGCGGCCCAGAAATATAAAATGCTGTAAGCAGGTTTGCAGCAAGCCTTGGAATAAAGGATTTCAAAGCCAGTGAAGGGTGGGTTGCAAGGTTCAAAGGTAGGCACAATATTGTGAAGAGGAAAATTGTCGATGAAAAACTGAATGCAGATGAAAGCAGTGTAGAACCATTTAAACAGAAATTAAAAGCATACGTTTTGTCAAATAATTTATATTCTTAACAAATTTATAATGCTAATGAAACTGGGCTGTATTGGAGGAGTTTACCAGAAAAAACTCTAGCAATGAGGAGTGAGGGTTGTGCCAGGCCGTAAGGTCAACAAGGACAGGCTGTCGGCCATGATGTGCGCGAATGCCGACAGCACAGACAGAATCACATGTGCAATTGTTGGCAAATCAAAGAAACCAAGAGCCTTGCTACATTGCATGGACAGACTGCCAATCAAATATTATAACTCACAAAATGCATGGCTTACACAGATCTTTCTTTCCTGGTTTCATGATGTGTTCTGCAGGGAAGTTCGTGCCTATCAAGTTAAGAAACTCAAAGTAAGACCATGCGAAGTTCGGGCTTTGCTGCTGCTGCGCCTGCCCACTCCAAAATTGACACGTTAACCTCACATGATGGCAAGATAACGTGTATGGCACTTCCTCCTAACACAACCTCTCTCATCCAGCCTATGGATCAGGGAGCTATCTGTGCCACGAAGAGGTTGTACACCAAAAAGATGCTGAACGAAGTTTTGGTGGGTTTGCCTCTTCCGGAAGATATTGAACTTTGTGTGGATAACAGGGCTAAAAAAAAAAACTTGAGAATTTGAACTGTACAATCAAGGAAGCCATCTATAACTGGACCAAGGTGTGAAGTAAAGGAATCGACTGAAAAATTCCTGGAAAAAACTCCTCACGTCTACGGTCAGAAAGGAGGAGGATGAAGAAATTTATTTTGAAGGATTTACAGATGAAACCCATGGAATGTTCAGAAATGCCGGCAAAAACTTAGAAAGACAGGATGTGGTCGATTGGCTTGAAAAAGATGCCAATGAGCCAGGATATGGTGTGACGAGTAAAGACGAGATTCTCCAGTCTATTACTGTGAGGTTGACGTAGAGATGGAGGATGAAGAAGGCAGTGAAGAACCAACACCAATGACCACAAAATACAGTGTACTCATGACCTATGTTGACGGATTAATAAATTTTTCATCCAACTGTGCTCATCCAGAAGTTGGAAACATGTATCAGTACCTGAGGCGAACAAAAGAGCTGATCATACAACTGGCCAGTGAACACAGAAGGCAAGCTACACTTGATTCTTGTATGGTACGAAAGTCAAGCCAAGCGCGTTCAACAAGTGAGGCGTCACAGCTGGCAGTCAAAACTAACTTTGCCTAATGAACTGTACAGTAATTTTAAGTTTTAATTTTAGTGTTGTGTTAGTATAGGTTATGTAAATTGTCAAGAATTTTTAACTTCAAGATGTGTGGCATCAATCAAGAAGACGAACACCAACAAGGTAAGGTGAGGTTTCTAGTTTAATATTTAATAATTATATGTGGCAAGGCAATTCAAATTATGTTTGTAGTATAAAAAAAAAAGAAGTTGGAAATGGTTAGTTCTGGACTCGTAGGTGAAAAAGTACCATTATCTGGAACACGTGATTATCCGGCTGGGGGTCCTTCCCATATAGTCCGGATAATCGAGTGGAGACAGTATATGAAATATTTAATATTACAGAACAGAATATTGTACAGTGTTCTTAACAAAAAGGCTTCTAGCAAAAGCTCTTAAAATGACAGATGTTGTCCTGTCTCAATTTAATCAGTTTCTTATTATTGAGAACTTTTTAAATTAAACACAAGAAGTCATAGATTTAAACTAACTAAACAAAGTTGCCAAAGAAATACAAGAAAATTCACTTTCGCAAACAGAGTGGTAGACGGTTGGAACAAGTTTGGTGAGAAGGTGATGGAGGCCAAAACAGTCAGTAATTTCAAAGTGTTATATGACAAGAGTGCTGGGAAGACGGGACACCACGAGCATAGCTCTCATCCTGTAACTACACTTAGGTACTGTATTATAAAATTCATTGTTATTACCGGTATACTGATTAAAAAAAACTGAAAAAAAGCCTATATACATATAAAACTAAATAAAGTATAACGAAGACAGAAAAATCTAACTAAAAATTACTAAAGCTCACTAGTGTATACAGATGAAGATGATAAATCACAACAACATGACTAAACAGTGTACATTAATAATATATGCTTCAAAAAAGAAATCTAGTACACAAAAAAAACACCAGCAATTTTTTGTCATTTTCCCATTATTGTTACATTATGTATTTCATTACATGTGCACACATTTTTGTCCAGCACACATACGCGCGCGCGCACACACATACGAATAGAAACCTTCATTTTCTATTATGAAATGAATATTTATTTATTCAGTTCCAATTATTGTATTGACTGGTAAACTTTTTATTTTCAATGCAATTCTTTTACCATTTTCTAGGGTCACCCACATTTTTATTTCTTCAGATATGTTTAAACATTTCTGGCTCCCAAGATGCTACTTCCGAAAAGCCTACAGTTTACCTTAAAGGCAGACCAAATACAGTATACATAAACACACGTTCCAAGGTTCAGAATCCACCAGCTAAATTATTTGTTAAGATTGATAGCCATTATAAGATTGCATATATTGTACTAGCTGTCATATATAGTATCCGAGGAATTCAGGTTTTTATTAACCAAAGTATCACAGTATATATACAATATTAACTAATGTACATAATTTTAGTGTTGGATAAAGGGAAATATTTTGGTGTATAATTTAGAAATAAGACCACAGTCTTTAACTATTTTATGCTCCTTAAACCACGCAATAATATTTTGACTAATTAGGAAAAGGAACCTAACCAACAATGTTGGACACAAAGCACCAAATTACATTATTTACATTAAAAATTAACACACTGAGGCACAAACTATTGGTCAGAAATAGTCGCCTAAAAAAGTCAACATTAGTGTTCATATGGTTCATCAATGATAAGAGCAATCTGTCTGTGGAATAAACAGCAAATAAGCCATTTGCAGCGAAGTCACTTTCGATATATTTCTAAACTAGTGCTAACTTTTTACCAAAACATTGCTGCAAGATACTATATTCTAAGTTGGCTAACATGACAGTGAATTAGAGACTTCTGCTTACATAGTAAGAAATGAAGCCACTAATATGTGAACAAATATTGAGGATACCTCAACTGGATGGAGTTGTCTACTGAAGGAAGGTGAAGAGGATAAAGGAACAAAAGGAAAAATAACAATATAAAATTATTTAAAAGTTGCATTCAGTTTCAAGATGTTTGATATAAATCATTAACCAAGACTGACACATCAATGTTGTAGTTAAAGAATATGAACCATGGACGAGCACAGACAAGACATAAAAATGCCAATTCCAGTTTAACAAGTGTGTGTGTTTTCCTCACTCAGGTAGTGCAGCAATGGTAACTAAAGCCACTGCCAGGTTTTCAAGGTGCACTGACTATTAATAATGTTACCTTCCACCTTCCCCATGGGCCCTACCTGAAAAAACTAATGATTCAAGGAAATATATGGGGCACTAGTATTTTACATGACATACATTAGTTATGATTTGAATACTGCCACTGTCAGTCTATTCTGAAAATGCAAAACAGTACAGTATCTACTTTGTATTTTCTGGATGTTATTTAATAACTTTTAATAATATTTACCTGATTGACCATTATATACACATATATATACATATATATACATACATACACACATATACATATATACATACATATATATATACTGTATATTATATTATATTAAGATTCATGAATATTGATAATTTCCTAATTGAACCAAGTGATATACTTGCATTGCCAAGCCACGTCACACATCTTCACTAAAATATGCTAAGTGGTTAGATACTTAAGACATCTACTAATTCACAAGGTTGTTTCAGTACTAGAGGCTGTGGTAGTGCTGGAAGCTACAATATCTGTGGCTGAATCTCTCCTACCCCTTGACACTCTCTGAGGAGGGGACCGGTGAATCGATGGAGTGAACACTTCTTGGTGTGGAGATCGTGTATTAAATGACATTTTTTGAGTAGCCACAGAAGTAGGAGAAAAATAGTGGTTTGTTCGGTCATACACTTTGCTTGAGGTAGCAGGAACAGGAGACGAGTGATTAATGTGACGTCGTGATAAATGACTCTGAGGAGGAAAACTACTGGGCGTTACTGATGGTATGTGGCTAGAAGAATTGGCAGTGGAAGTGTGTTGAGATGAGTATCCTATGATGTTGTAATCAGTAGTGTGGCATGGTGATGCTGGCACACTCACCTCTCCCGTTTGCCTCGATGTTTGTGAACTATTATTCACATTTCCATCCGGGTTGTCTGTGTTACTGCTTTTTGTTGGTTTAGTTATTAAAGATCTTGGTGGAATTTGGGATAATCTACCAGGTGAATCTTGTGGTGATGTCACATTACTTGTTTCACTCTCATAGCTTAAGGAAGCACTAATTAGAGATGAAGGAGTGGAAGGGGTCCCTGAATCATGCCCTTCAGCTGCCCAGTCCCAAGCACTTCCTGAGTGGGTGCCAAAGATGAAGCTCTTTACTGTTGGACTCTTCAACACACTGTCAGGAGATATTGGATCACTAGTTTTTATTACAGAATGATTTTCATCCATCTGCAATGATACTTGATTTATTGGCTGACTTTTGGATCTCGAGTGATGAGATAGATTCATTGCCTTACTAGAAACCGGTTCAAGTGAAGTGAATTTTTCAGAGGACGTATTTTTACAAGACTGACAATAAATGCAGGTGGACTGTACCTTGCCTGTTTCACCAATATATGAAGGTAGCACCTGTGTTCCAACATCCACTATATTTACCTTGAACATTGGATTAATATTCCTACTGAATTCCTCCTCTTGATGAAATACATAGTTACTTGGACTATTTCCATTGAGCTCTCTGTCTTCTGTTTGAAGAACATCATTCTCAGTGTCAGTTCTTGGCGAACCACAGGAACATGTAGAACAATGACGCTTGGCTCTCTCACGCTGCCTTTCCTCTAAAACAGCAGCCATAATGGCTGCAGATACAGCATCAACTGGCTCTTCCTTCTCATTTTCCTCTGAAAAAGAAAAAAAAGCAATAAGGTAAATTGCAGGTACTACATACAGTCCATCTATAATTACAGTACTAGCACCAGTCTATGGATACAAATTTCCTCACTAACACTATAGCTTTAATATTTTCCTATACATAACATAAAACTGATTTAGAACAATATATATGCAGTTACAGTACTGTACTTAACTATTTCCTACTTTCAAATGCAACATTGATACTAAAGTATAAATCGAACACTAGAGAAGTGATACAGTCTATAATCCAATTACGGTACCTCACAGCATTATTCTGTAAAACCTGATTTTATAGTCATATTCTGCACAATCTGATTTTGCATAGTAAAAGCATTGATAGCACATAGTATTGTATTCAATTTTACAGTTACTGTATTTGATTCCACACAGTTGTGAAGATAATCAGAAATTACAAAAAACCAGTGTTGTCCAGTGTACTGTAATAAAATGTCTCTCTAGTGGGTCTCCTTAAACCAAGCTGAACTACTCATTCATACCACTCGCTCACAAACAGACGGCAGCCCGAGCTACTCAGGGACTCGAGAGACAAATCACACACCATCCCCATGCATGACCCCAGGCACATAATGATGGACAGCCAGAAATGGATACAACAAAGATGCACTCCCAGCCGAACAAACCGAGAATCAATAACCAACAGATCCCACAAGAAGCCTTTACCTTTTACTATTTAATAATACAGTACCTTTAATATGACTATTTGCATAACTAAATATGTAATAACCTAAAATATGGAAACACTGTAAATGCTTGTACCTGGATGGGGTTCTGGGATTTCTTATATTTGCCAAGCCTGGCCTTGACTTGTGAGAGCTTTTTCCAACAGGCTGTTGCTTGGAGCAGCCCTCAGGCCCACATATCCACCACAGTCCGGTTGGTCTAGTACTTTTGGAAGAAAACTATCCAGTTTTCAATTGAAGACTCCACGTTTGTTCCGGCAATATTTCTTATGCTCTCTGGAAGTGTATTGAACAACTGTGGACCTCTGGTGTTTACAGTGTTCTCTGATTATGCCTATGGCACCTCTGCTCTTCACTGGTTCTATTCTACATTTCCTTGTATGTGTATGAACCTTCACTTGTAAGAATAGGTCCAATACTGACAGTGGCTTTTGCATTTAATTTTACAAATGTGAAGAAATATTTTGGGATTATACAAGAAATAAAACAAGAAATATTCTTGTAATAAGATGAATATTACTATGTCATAACATATCATAGGTTTGTTAATGTTGTTCATGTGTTGTGCAAAAAATTAAATTGAGCTCGGCTCAGAAAATAAAAATTCTGAGCTGCTTGGATACTCTGCAAAAAGGGTTCCTGATCCAATCAAACTCTTCTGATGACAAAGAAGGGAAGTACTTAGCAAGCTTTTCACCCAGATTTCATATGGATGGAAATTACAAAGAAAGGGCAGGAAGTTGTACTTTTTTCTATATGCTTTTACAAATTCTTGCAGAATGCCAGACATGGGCTCATAGAACCCCAGTGTTCCACAACCCTCGGAGAGAATCGTTGCTCTTAATAGTGAACCAGGTTATCTTCCCGTCCCCTGGTAGGATATCATGACTCATAAAAAGCCTGGTGGGGCATGATAGTTCTAAAGCTATTCAACTCCAGGGAGCCACTGAGGGGTCAGACCAGAAATATTTGTGAAACCATGTTCTAATGGTTTAGCAGAAACAAAATAATGCATGATATAAAATAGTGCCCTCCCTCCAGGTCATCAGGGAATTTGCATCTTTGTTGAACCGAGGGTGGAGCAGCTGGCTGACCCTTGCCTGTCTTCCTCCTCCCACAAACAAGAAAAAAAGGCATGGCAAGCAAACCAGTGCTAGTTTCATGAAATTTTGATCGTTTGTCTACATTGTTGGAGGCGGGGGGGAGGTTCTATAACTTTCTGGAGGATGAAGTCTTGTTTAAAGTCAGCAGTAAGTCATTTTGTTTTGTTGACTTCCTGGGTACCTTCCTCGGTGATGGCATAAATGAATAACTTATTGTATAAATGCCACTGCTCCCTTTACCTCTAAGGGGGGTCGTTCAGATTCTAGCTCTTAGTTCCTAGTAGGCCACAGAACTTCGTGACTGATGAGACCTAGTAGTATGACACACTATCAGAGATAGTAGCTTCAGGGAGCCACAAGGGGTTCCACACAGAAAATTGTAAATTTAAGATGTAGCAGGAGGGAGTTTGCTACAAATCTATTCATTCATGTAAGAATACACTACCATATACAGTACGTACACTTTCACATCTAAAATATTACAAAATATACGTTAAATATCTCATATTAATCTCATCAACATACCTGAATATTTATTAACTGAATAAACCATTGCAGTTGGTGGGAAAGTTGGGATTGGAACTTTGATCACTTTAATTTCTGGCTTAGGGTTGTCCCGAGGTTCCCTTGCAAGACGAAATTTGGCCTTCTTTTGGACATCTGATGGAAGCTAAAATGAAAGAAAGGCAATGTTTATTCCTAAGATTACATTCATCAGCACAATAAAAACCAGCACTGAATATAATGAAACCCCTCCTGGGGGATCTTTGGTATCTCCCTGTTAGCAACCTGCAAGGGCTGCATACTGCACCCAATTCAAACCACAGATCGTTCTTGTAAGTCTTTGTAAGCCTACAAAGAACCAGAGATCAAAACCTGGCCCCCCTCTATACAGGTGCAGAAAGCCGAGGATAAGAAATCCCTCGGACCAACAAAAGGCCACCAGAAAGGTAGAGCAAAACAAAATGCACAACAGCAAAGTAAACACAACACAAAATGAGACCCTGAAGTGATCCACGCAGTCATGAGGCAGTTCACCTCTATTACTGACTATGCACCATCAGGTGGCCACAAATGCAGATACTAGATCCACCCAAGCATCTTGCCAGTCACTGAGCCCGGAAGACTAAAAATGAAGCCCCCCTGAAAAGGGAAGGGAAGGTCCAGGGAGCTTCAAGCGACCCACCAGAAAGAGGCATTTCATTACATTCAATGCTGGTTTTCTAGGACAACTCCATTATGGCACCCTGTTGCTATGTCACCATGGAGAACAAAACACAAGAAGGAACTCACCAGGGGTGGAGGAGCCACACAAGCTCGGCACGGACCAAGACATCCAAAAGGTGCTAGTACTTTGTTGGACCACCAAAACCCATGAGCATAAACATCAGCCTAAGACATATTAAACAACACTGCAGACAGAGCTGCAAACTTGCGAACATCACAGGCCTGAGGGTACATCACAGGCTGGTGGGTAAACTTGATGACACTGCAAATGACCTGAAACAATCAAGTGCTGGAACAAGGAACTGGGCAGTCTACAAACAAAGCATCCCCCCCTACACACCACTAGCGGTGCTACCAGATACCACAAATGATGCACTTCCAGCCAAACCAACATCAAAGGATTCCTAAAAAAAACAGTGAAATCATTCTTAGTAGGAAAGGGGGGGGGGGATGGAAGGGCCTTCAAACAAAGAAAATGACCAAGAGGACCAAAGCAGCAAATTATTTATTATTAGCATCTTTATTGACAAAATTAATTACCATTTTGCCTAATCTGAGGATTTCAATTAAGCCTTATTAAAGTGAGGATAGTGCTAGTATTCAGTCACGCAGAACAGAGGGTCATACACAAGACAATAGGTCTAAACTGTAGGCTGAAGCACATGTATATCATGGTTACAATCAATGTTTTAATGTATGAATATGTGAAAACAACTTTCTATTATGCACTGCCACACAAGGGCAGGGATGGGTTCATAAGTGATGCAGCTTAGAAGTAATATAAATAAAATTGAAAGAAGCAAAACCCAACTTTCAGCGAACATGAAGCTCGTGAACCTTACAACTGGAAGCGAGTGCCAACAAAATCAGTCCGTGACCAAAGGAGCAACAGAGAACTGAGAAAGGAAAAGGCTAGCATTGAATGTAATGAAATGCCTCTTTCTGGAAGAGCCTGGTGGCTCCCTTAAGTTATCTAGCTGAGATTTCTCCATACTAAGGAGTCCCATCAGTCATGGAAATTCTGCTTTGCCTACCAAGGACCAGAGCCGGAATCTGTCAGAAGCACAGGGAGCGAGTTACAATCTGGCACCTCACAAAAAAATAAAAAATAAAATGCTTGAGGGTTTACAGTTTCAGGTTTCACCCTCTTTCTTTGATCTTATAGTTTCGGCATGTTTAACGCCTCCAGTCTCTCCTCATAACTACAGTATTTGTTTTTCCGTTCTGGAAGCCATTTTGTAGCATGCCATTGCACCTCTTCCAGTTTATTTATATGCTTCTTGAGATTTGGGTACCATACAACTGCTGCATATTCCAGTTTTGGTCTCACAAAAGTCATGAACAGTTTCTTTAGTATTTCACCATCCATATAAAGTAATTAAAAGCAAGTCTGAAGTGGGAAAGCAACGCATACTCTTACAATGTTCTTTGTGTGTTCCTCTGGCGACAGCTTACTATCAAAACCACCACTAGGTCTCGTTATTTATTAGATTTCTGTAATTCCTTTCCACATCATTTGTAAATTGTGTGTGGTCTATTTTCATTGATTCCACCATTCCATGACATTACATTTATTCACAATGAATTTTGCCAGATGTTGCACCAAGCACATATTTTATCTAGATCAATTTGAAGGGCACTACAATCATTCATGTCTCCTATCTTCTCCAGTATCTTAGCATCATCTGCAAACATGTTCACATAATTCTCAATTCCCTCTGGTAGATCGTTTATGTAGATGATGAACAATACTGGTGCAAGAACTGAACCCTGTGGTACTCTGCTAGTAACACTCCTCCTGTCAGATACATTGTCTCTGATTACTGCCCTCATCTGCTTGTCAGTTAGAAAAATGTTCACCCATGTCATAAGTTTCCCTGTCACCCCTTCAGCATGTTCTAATTTCCAGAACAGCTTCTTGTGTGGGACTCTGTCAAAAACCTTTTTTGGGTTCAGATAGACCCAGTCAACCCAACCATCTTTTTCCTATAGTATCTCTGTGGCTCTATCATAAAAGCTAAGTACTGTAGATTTGTTACATGGGCTCTTTCTGTTCGAAAACCATACTGTCTGTCCGTTATTATGTCATTACTCTCTAGGTGTTCAAACCATTTGGCTATAACTATTTTTTCTAGTGTCTTGACTACCACACTCGTTAATGACACTGGTCTATAATTTAGAGGTTCCTCTTGACTACCATTTTTACAAATTGGTACTATGTTTGCCTTTTTCCATATATCTGCTAAGATTCCTGTGCACAAAGATGTCTGGAATATTAATTGGAGTGGAATGCACTGCTCAGTTGCACATTCTCGCAGCACCCAAGGTGAAACTCCATCAGATCCAACAACTTTATTTCTTCCTAGCCCCACGAGTAATTTTTCCACTTTGTCTTGAGATAAAGACAATTATGTATTCTATGGTATGTTCTGGAATTGGTGTTTGGTCCAGCTCTCTGAAATTCTCATTTTGTACAAACACACTTTGGGACTGTTCATTTAGCATTTTATACATTTCTTTTTCTTTCTCGGTAGTCATGATCCCCATTCTCAATCTCAGTATTTCATCTTTTACATGCAGCCTGCTTTCAATGAATTTAAAGAAAAGGCCTGGATCTGTTTTACATTTGTCCACTATACCTTTCTCAAAGTTCCTTTCTGCTTCTCTTCTCACTGCTGTGTAACTGTTTCTTGCTGGTTTGTAATGTTGGTATGTTTGTGGGCTAGGCCCCTTCCTATATTGAACCCATTTTCTTATCTTTTTCTCTCTGGCCCTCTCAATTTCTGTTGAACCAATCCTGTTTTCTGGTCCTGCATCTGTTTGGTAAGAATGTTTGTGTGCCTTCAACATATATTTTGCAAAATTTGGCATACATTCTCTTTTACTTCCTTGCCTAGCAACAAGTCTGTCCAATTAAACTCATTAAAGAATTTTCTAAGTGCCCCATAGTGTCTCTCTCTCTTGAAATTGAGTTTATCAACTGTTTCAATGCCCCCATTCTCTTCTAGATCATACTACAAAGCATATTTCATTTCCAACAGGACATAATCACTCTTTCCCAAGGGAGGAAGGTACTGGATGTCAAATCTCTCTCTTTCTTTCCTGGTGAATATTAGATCCTGGAGAATATTAGTGTACTCACCTAATTGTGCTTGTGGGGGTTGACTTCAGGCTTTTTGGTCTCGCCTTTCAACTGTCAATCAACTGATGTACAGATTCCTGCACCTACTGGGCTCTATCATATCTACATTTGAAACTGTGTATGGAGTCTGCCTCCACCACATCACTGCCTACTGCATTCCATCTGTTAACTACTCTGACACTGAAAAAGTTCTTTCTAACATCCGTGTGGCTCATTTGGATACTCGGTTTCCACCTGTGTCCCTTTGTTCGAGTACATCTTATCTTTCAGCGACGTTAGGTGGAAGAATGTAAGGCTGCATTTCATGCAGCCTTTCCCCGTAACTCATGCCTCTTAGTTCTGGGACTAGCCTAGTGGCATACCTTTGCACTTTTTCTAGCTTAGTCCTGTGCTTGACAAAGTACGGGCTCCATGCTGGGGTTGCATACTCCAGGATTGATCTTACATATGTGGTATACAAGGTTCTGAAAGATTCCTTACATAGGTTCTTGAAGGCAGTCCTGATGTTAGCCAGCCTCGCATATGCCGCCAATGTTATTATTTTTATGTGGGCTTCACGAGTCAGGTTTGGTGTGATATCAACTCCTAGATCTTTCTCTCTGTCCGTTTCATGGAGGATTTCATCTCCCATTCAGTATTCTGTTTCTGGCCTCCTGTTTCCACTGCCTAGTTACATTACCTTACATTTGCTTGGGTTGAACTGGAGTAGCCACTTGTTGGACCATTCATTCAGTTTGTCTACATCATTTTGTAACCTCATACTACCTTCCTCTGACTTAATCCTCCTCATAATTTTTACGTCACCAGCAAACATTGAGAGGAACGAGTCTATTTATTAAATTTAAATTTATCATTTATTTAAATTTATATAAATAGATTATGTGTGTGTGTACTCACCTAGTAATATGTCTCTATGTCTGTGGAATTGTTGTCGTATGTTATTGTGCTATCTTTTCCCAGGAGTTGATATATTATTGCTGTGTACCTTGATCTTTTACAATTCTGTGTTAAGATATTATCATCACTAGTGCAAAGTGCCTGCATTTTTTACTGACAAGTGTTATCAGTGTGCCATTGTACACCAGTCGATTACCCCAGTATTTGCTAGTGCTAAAAAGTTATATCACGAGTAATGTATTCAGGTAGAATCCTTCTGTAGCCTTTACAAGTGGCAAGAGATAAGTTTTCTGTTTGTTTAGCTGTGTGGCTGCAAGAGACTGGTAATACAATGAACCCATGTGTATTAGTGTTAATTTCCTTTAATAAAGTGTTAAGCTACATACACTTTTAATTAAACCCTTTTCCCCATACTATACATAAGACTGCTGTATGACTCCCTTATTCACTTGGATAATTATTCTTGGCACATCTCAAGGGTAAGGCTAATTCACAGCCTTTTATCTTTTTATAAATTTTGATGTATTGAATCCCTAGCGTCTTATGCCTTCTAGCAAACTTCGCTTGGGCAAGAGGATATGGCATGTCGATATCTTGTGGTTGGCTCTTTGGGTACTCAAATTGGGCTACTGCAATTGCAGCAGCAGCTGCTGCAGGTCCTCTATGAGAGCTCAGGTATTACAATGCACCTTCACCTAAATCAGTCCAGTTAAAATACATCCAACGCAAAAGCCTCGCAACCAGGGAAACGGAGCCATATAGGACGGAAGGAGCCAGTTTCAGGCAGATGCAAAGAGGTCCACTTCAGGGCAACCATGTCTTGCAAAACCAACTCAAGGATGGGGTGTCATCCACGTCCACTCCGTGGAAATGGGACAGAGGTGAGATAACCCGTCTGCGAGAATGTTGGGCACACCCAACATGTGAACCATGTAGAGAACCAATCCTCAAAAACCCAGAAGATTTTTGGGGATCAACTCAAAAGACAAAGTGACAGAAAGAAAGGGGAGGGGAAAATTGGAAGTGGGAGGAGGAGAGTGGAACAGAGAGGGGTAAGATCTGTGCACCACCAGGTACCCCCATCTAGTTCCTTACATAAAAGAAAAGACCACAGATTACTGTAAGAGGATGGGTGATCTAATATGAGCCTTTAACCACCACCATCTATATGTCCATCTTTTATCTAATGCCTCCCCCTCCCTGTGACAGTGGGTTGCAGTAATAATGACTATTATAAGGGTTCGTTCTCGATTCACAATTTGGTATTTAAATATGATTTTTTTTTTTAAATATATTCAAGAGTTTTTACATTCTTGTACAGCCACTAGCATGTGTAGCGTTTCAGGCAAGTCCTTAATCCTATTTTCCCCGGAATATGACCCGCCAAATTGTTTAACAACCAAGTACCCATTTAAAATGTTGGGTAAACAGAGGCTACAGTTAAGGATTGATGCCTAGTAAATCCTACCCGGCCAGGATATGAACCCAGGAGAAAGCGCTCGCGAAATGCCAGGCGAGTGTCTGACCACTTCACCTGTTAAAAATGGTTAAATGCATTTCCCATCACCTAATGCACCTATTCACCTAGCAGTAAATAGGTACCCAAGAGTTAGTCAGCTCGTTGTGGGGTTTCATCCTGGAAGGATCAGTAATTCAAACTTTGGGGGGAGGGGGGGACCTCAATATAAGCCTAACATGTATATGTACACTGGCTGCTTGTTCCCTGACACTGACTATTATTATTTATTAAATCACCATTCACAATAAATTTCAAGGCCTCACACTGTTTGTTTAATAAAACATGAAAATTAACACTGCTCAGGTGACTTGGTCTTGAGTCACTCATTACAATATTTGTTAAAAATTAAAATTTTATCCGATCATGTGAGTGGTTTCAAAATGGGCGCCTTTAGATTGCATACAATTTGATACCAAAATGAAAGATGTAACACCAAAGTTGGTGTCAGAACACTGGAAATATATAAATAATTTTGTGGTGATGAGCATCCAAAAGTTAAAATATTTGTTAAAATTCCATTTATTGTTCTATTATTATGGGACTAGTTTTAAAATATGCGCCTTTATTTTGTGAACAATTTAATGCCAAAATTAAACACCCAACACAAAAATTTATGCTATCAAACTGAACGAGTATATACATTACTCTGCAGGTGTGCCAATTGGTGCTCGTTCACGGGTAACTTGGCCGACTTTAGGCTTTGCTGTGGGGAGTCACGCCGGTTTTTTAGACCTTATATGCATATACCCCCTGTAGAGAATTCTATTGCGAACACAATGATACCAAAGCGAACGATGCAGCACGAGAATTAAGGTGGAAAAACTGAAACGAGTATACACATTTTACTGATTTTGCGCGCTCACAGGAAGCTTTGCCGACTTTAGGCTTCACTGTGGGGAGTCACGGCGAGCTTTTGGACCTTATACACATATACCCCTATAGGGAATTCTATTGCGAACACACTGATACCAAAACGAACGATGTAGCACGAGAATTAAGGTGGGAAAACTGAAACGAGTATACACATTTCGGTGTCGCCACACGCTCGCCCGCACCGTCAGGAGCATGACGTCTAAGTCTGCGGCGCGCCTGCACCACGCGTGATAGTATTAAGATCAGTAACAGGAATGAATAACATCTATGACTTGGACCAGTTAAAAAATACATGAAACAGGTGATAAGGCACAGGATTTTCTTAACTGTTAATTAAGGCAGAGGTTATTACATGGAGAACATTGATCCTTAAGAATTGTACTTACAGAGTCCAGTTTGTGAGAAGCATACTTTGATGGATTACACTGAAGTAACTGGATAGCCAGATTAAGATCATTCTTGTACCGGTCCTGAAATTTAAAATAAAATGCAGAATTAGCAACTTCACCCACATAACAGGCAGAGCTTACAATAATATCATACCTCTCACATCATCTCTCTAAAAATAATTTTTCAAAGAGTACTGTACTTCAATTTTACTTTGTATTAGCCACAAGTTGTAGTAAAAATTTGGCCTACTTTGATTTCTAAAACAATTTACAAGGCCACAAAGGCTAGCAACAGCATCAAGCATTCTAATAGGAACATACATTGTACTTTTATTTACAAAAAACAAACACTGAATGTAATGAAATGCCAATTTCTCGTCGAGCCCCAGTGGCTCCCTGAAGTTATCATTCCCGATGTATCTGCCTTCCAGTAGGTGTCATCAGATGCAGAGAACCTGGTCCCCTCACAGAGGTGCAGGGAGCCGAGGTAGTAAGTTATTCATTTATGCCACCACTGAGGAAGGCACCCAGAAAGTCAGCGAGTCAAAACAGACCACAGTTGGCTGCCTCCAAGACCTGCAGACTCAAAAACAGCCATACAACTCCCCAAACAATGTAAACAAATGATTGACAATGCTATAAATCTAGCGCCCACTCGTTCGCCTCATGGCCATGGGGCGAACGAGTGGGCTCAGGCCATGGCCATGGCTCACAGGCTCTTACCAGGGAGGAGGGAGCACAGTAGGTATAACAAAAACAGCTGAGAAAGCCGACCCAAGGCCACACAGGGGTGTTAACCTTCGAGAGAGAAAGGTGTACTCTCATCTAGTCTTGTACCCCCCCCATGGCTGCTGTGCTGAGCAATGCTGTGCAGTCCTGTGCCTGCTGTACACTGAGCATTGGTATTCACCTATATCCAAGGGCACAAGTTCCTTGTGTCAAGTGTCCATGGATCGGAAACTGTATCAGCAGTTCAGAAATCATGTGTATGATGACATACGATGCCTGGTTACACTAGTGGAGAGCAGTTTTTATAATGAGCCTGTATAATCATAGATGGGGGTCTTACCCCAAAGTTAGCTGTAGTGTGTCAGGTATCCCTGACCTGACCTGACTCAGCCATCAGTTCTAATAACCCCATTCCTACTGCTCCCATCCTCATCAGCAGAGACAAGAGTTCAGCCAGTCAGATGCATGTATGGTTGAAATAGCATTCTGACGGGTGCTCTGTCAGAAGCCTTTAATGTAGGTGATGTGAGGAGCTCGGTTGGTCTGCCCTTGGCTCCCTCCTCCTCATTCTCGTGGAAGCTGTCAAATGGAAAAGACGAGTGCTCCCTTGAGCTGCAGAGCACTGTCACCCTAGACAGCTACCTGTACTCATTCCAATCACACACTGGTTGAGACATCTCCCCATTCAACACTGGCTACAGAACAAGAGTGCTCGTATGTGAAGTGAGTGAAGAGTGAGTAAAATGTATTTATCTTGTGTACACAATTGACTTGCATTTTATGTGCTTAAATGAGACCCAGCGAGTTTAGTGGACGAGTTTGACCCGGTTTGGTGTGCCCATTCACAGCAAAACATCCTATGGATTGCTGGTCTTGACAGTGCACGTGTTTATGATTGTATTCCAAACACATGTTAGTCTTTTATTGTGCATGCAATTTAATTTCCCGAGTATCATTTTGAGCTCCAATTTGTCGTTTGGTGTATGGCAGTGGTGTTAGGTAGCCGTTATTGTTAAGGTGGTCAGTATTACCAGTGTTAAGGTTAGGTTGCATTATGTCACCCGAGTATCATCACCAGGAATATGTACTGTGCGTACAGTTTGCCTATGACACCTTATAAAGACAATTATGCCATTTCCATGTGTAAATACATCTTTGTTTTGTATTCTAATTTTAGTGAATAAATTCGTATGTTAAGCCCATGGTATTTCAGAAAATCCTCTCTCTCTCTCCCTCATATTGCAGACTTTTGCTGATTTGGTCCCATAAACAGATCCTCCACCTATACTAGCCCAATAAAAAACATACTTTTTGATATATGAATTAAGTACTCTGATTTCCCCGCACCAGCAGGTAGAGATTAGACATGATCTACATCTGGCAGGATCTCCTCAGGATCTTGTGCTACTGATAATTACTGAGAGTGGCTTGCACACCAGTCCTAGCTTAGCTGAACACAGTTGTGGTCCAACATTAATCTGGGACAACCTCTCATATGTTAACAAAAATATATAAATCTGTAAACAGTACAGTATACAAACATTAAAAGGGTTAAGTGGTACTCAAAGAATTTTATGACAAAACAAAAAATAGAACAATGTCTTTGTGAGAAAATGTCTGTCTGAACTCCTATCACTGAACTTACATTTTCCTGTTTAAGTCTGTTAATAGCCTGTGCAGCTGTGGTGAGGGCTGTGGTGAGGCTGGCAGTGTCAGCAGCCAAACTAGACTTCTCACTCTCGGTGCGGTCCACCAAACGCAATAGCTTATCTTCAAGACCTTGGTTCACCTTCTGTAGTCGTTTGTGAGCCTCAAGAAGCCTGTGAATTAAGGAAGGTAAGACAGTAATACAAGTATATTTGCTCTACAAAAACCTCATGATCTAAATACAGTACATCTTGGTGAGCTCAAGCAATTGCAAAAGTTCACTCTGATATCTCTATCATATCTACACATTAGATTTATAATAAAACTAATTCTGAAATTCAAATATCATATCTAATAAAAAAAAAAAAAAAACATTAACCATGCAACATGTAGTTGCCATGCCTGTGTGTGCATTTAGTAATTAAAGATTCTAACTAAATGCAAGTCCACGTAATACTGATCTTCTCTGATACTTGTACCAACATCCATCACTGATAAAAATATGTTTTCAAAAGTTTTGTCAGTTGTTTTAAATTAATAACCGATTGAGGGAAAAAATACAAACTGCTGGTTTGTTATTGGTAGTTGGAAAGTGTGTTGTAGAGATTATCAATGAAGCCATCAAGGCATGAGAATATACTGGAACGTGATGACCAGACTGCGTGTACTAGATAAAGAGATGACGCAGTAAAGATATAAAATAGCAAAGGAATTGACAATAGACAAGGAATGAGTATGTAGTTTGATGACACAATGAATATGAGAAGGGCTTCTTAGGAGAGGTAAGGTATGTAGCAAGTGAGTAGGTGGACAGGTATGTACTTGCTTATGAAGCTAACCAATACTAGGGTAGTTCAATGCTGTATTGGAGTACATGGGAGGTAAGTATGTAAGTATGGAGGAATCTGCCACATACAAAAACTAACTTGTAAATTACATTTGCCAAAGTTTATCCTACATTTTTGCTCTGGGGAAATTGCTTCTTCAGATAAAAATAAAAGTAGGAAAAATATTTGTCAAGACCAGGGCTTTAGCTAGTATACAAAAATCTAAGGCACATTTGGCCTCCAATTTGAAAAAAGGTAAGGGTCAGAGAAAAATTTTGTCTACTTAATATCTATCAAAATCCTAATTGAGAAAAATGGGAAAAAATACAAGCCTTAAACTTAAATAAGAGAAAGTAGGTAATATAAAACCTTACCTTTAAAGTCCTGTTAACCTGGTGACATAATCATTATTTATTAATTTGAAATCTATGAATATGTGGTTGAAGAACAAGATTACTTTTGCAAAGACATTATTATTATTATTAATTAAATATCCACAAACACCAATTATTTTTGCAGGGCCAAGGCTGATATTAGTATAACCGAGACCTGGAAACTTGTGTCAAGCCCTGGTCATGACTGGCTACATATAAGCTTTGAACATAAATGCTAAAGATCCTGGCCCCCCAATGGAACACCTAGTCTCATCAAGAGTTAAGCCACACTTAGAAGGAGAAAAGATTTGTTTTTCTTAAAAAAAAATCCAAAGCAATCCAAAGTTGCTCAAGTGTCAATTAACATCAACTGTGATTATATCGTTAAATAAATCGGTAAGAAAATATCATCTAAGCTACAGTAATTGAAAGTAATTTTGCTTGGTATAACATAGCAATTTTAACCAGCATTGAAAAGGATATAAAGGACAAAGATTTTACTTACTAATAATTTTACTATATAGTACTATCAAAATACTATACTGGTAAACGTTGATTAAACAAATTCCTTACAATCACAGCAAGTTGGTTATGTAAAAACTATCACTTTTCAATCATCAATAAATCAAGGTCTGCTAATACTAAAAAAAATGTAAATGAATCCAATAGACCAAAAGGAAAAGTACTTTAAGTTATATATCATGTCACCCGATATTTAAAGTACCGTACAACAAATGAAACAGCATCATGACAAAAGTTAATCTCAACAAATGATATGTTGACAATGAAGATAAGTTACATTTAAATCCAACTATTGTATTTGCCGGCATACACGACACTTTTTATTTTTAAATGTATCAATAAAGTGCGCTGCATCTAATGTGGCCGTATTATGGATGGAAGACTAAGAGGCATAGGCTAGGGATCCTGATGAGCATACTGGGTAAATTCGCTAAGCACAAAAATATGTTGCTAATAATAAAATATTGAAAGCAAGCCGAGTTATCACAGTCTGTAATCACAAACTTATGATACGTCGGCAGTTATGAAGGAAACTCGCATCATCTTAACCAGTACACATAACCCACACCTGATATGTCATACATTATTATGACTGTTACCTTCAACACACGTTTAATCATTATCTAAATGAAAAATTATCCTAGAAATTTGAAAGGAATGTTCAACTTTCATCCGCCTGTCAGCCCATTTGCAATGCATGAATGACAACACCAGAACGCTGTGATGGGGCGCCACCACCGCCGGGTGCGCTGTGATGGGGCGCCACCACCGCCAGGTGCGCTGTGATGGTGCACCACCACCGCCGAATGCACTGCCCTGGTGGCCTGATGCAACAACAAAACATCACATGCAGAAATACAAGTTTCACATCCTGTATAGCAATTCTCTTGCCCAAAATATAAACAACTACACCACAGCTGATCTTGAAGATGGTAAGAGCTGTGGTACAAAATCAACTTTTTTTTTTCCACAAAATATCCTTGTAAAATAGGGGTGCGTCTTTTATGCCAGCAAATACGGAATATCATAATTCCCATCAACCAGTAAAGGACCCAGAAAGGTAGGCGAATCAAAACAGATCACTCTCTGCTTACACAATTTCTCCCCATCCTTTATGAGATCTCCTTTCTCTCGGGTACCTCCTGCAGCAGCTCGGGAGGTTCTTCTTACATACATCCATCTAGACCCGGGTTTTGCTTCACTGATGGACCTTCCTGTTTTGAGTTGGGTCTTCTTATTGGGTGCATTATGGGGTTCTCGAGTCTTCCTGGCTGGCAGACAATCCCTAGTTATTATTTGGTGATTGGCACAGTTTTTGTCTTATCTGCATGCTGAATTGGCGTGAGGTGTGAGAACTGTACTGCAAGTGTTTCTGAGGGACCTGTCATTTGTGCCTCTCAATGACTGCCTGTGTGCTCCTGCTCTTTCTCAAGATGTGGGTCCCGTGCAGCTCCATGGCCAGGTTCCCCTGTTATCGGCAGTACTTATGGTGGATGACCTTCATGTTAGCCTGTATTTGGGTTCCAATTTGTGGGTATCCTGGCCCTCCTCAGGGCCAGGACCTTCCCGCCAAAGGCAAGGAGGTCATGGCCTTCGTTGTTGTTGCGCCAGCTGCATTTCCTAAGCTGTATTCTCCCATGCTCTGGGAGGCGATGACCATGTTCTCTGCTGCCTGACTCTTGTGTTGGCAAGCTGTCTTGGCCCATTCTTTGAATTCATCATCAGCCCTTGCTCTTCTCTTCCTCTCCCTTTTCTCCTCTCCTCTTTGTCCAAGATGTTATTGAGTAGTTCCTCTTTTCAGCATTTGTAGCTTGTCAATCTGTTTTTTGGATTTTGTTCTTGTTCAAGGCAGTTGGGAAGAGCTGGGGCATCACATGCTGTTGGTCAAGAATGGCCATCTGTGCAGTCAGGTGCCAGGACTTGTGTGGTTCCCTTGGCCAGTCTTTCTCCATCCATGCTCTCTGGTTTTGGAAGCTGGTTTCTCATGGTTTGACTGGCTCTTTCACGGTTCAGCGCAAGAATTGGCACAACCCTTTCTGCTGGCCCTCTCCGTTTTTTCCTTTTCCCTTTCCGAGCTATTTTCTCCAATATGGTGCTGGGGGGGGGTGGAGTGGGGGGAGGCACCCAGGTTTGCCAACTCCTGATCCCACGATTCATGGTCTTTTTAAATCATTTCCTCACTGTCGAGTTTGTCAGTTCCTCCCTATCCCATGGATTTAAGTCTTTCCGGACAGGCTCTCTCTACTCTGCAACAATATTCAACGAGATTTTGTGGCTCTCCTTTTACCACTTCCTTTCCTTTCATCATTGCTCTTCCGCTTCTATCTACGTTGTACTCGCCTTTCTTTCTTGGCTTTTTCTCGATCAGTATCCCATGCTGAATATCGTTGCCTCGTATTGTGTAGTGCTGGCAGAGCTGTTGCTGCTTACATTCGGGGTTAATACTATCTCTGCTCCATTTCCCAAGCTGTAAGACATTACAGCCTTGTTTTACCTCTGGCCTGCTCATGCATCACCTGAGCCTGCTTGGTGTCTGGACTGTGTTCTAGCATTTCTTTCTTGCTCTCAGTTGACGGTGTCCCTTTCTGTCCGTGATGGTTTCTTTAACCACTGTATTGCACACACACTGATATCATGGAGAAATGGGGTGCACCCACCAACATATAATGTTTGTTAGTATATCATAAGATTCAAAACTTGCAAGCAGTAGGTTGGGTACCAGACGGAGGCCCGAGATCTCCAGTGAGCGTCCGCTGTTTTGTAAAAAACTCCCAGGATACCCCACGGCCGCAGGTAGGCTCAGTATCAACTGAACAACCATGGCCGACGCACATGCTTTGAGCTCCAATTTGTCACCCCCGAGTCGCGTGGTTGAAAAATCACTATTTGAAGATGAAATTCAGGACATACTCTTTGAAGAGAAACATGACTGATGTTGATGAACCAAAGCGTGATAAAGACCTTACACAAATATCGGATACAGGTGATACCGACACCGAAGATGAGGATTCAGAGAACATGTACTGAATACGACTCTCACCAGCCCTGTCCCTGTCATGCTGTCTGAGGTCAACACCACTGACATTTTTATCACCTGTACTATCTGCCACTCCTGAACAATGTGATAATGTAGGAGATAAGTCATTTCCTGGGTTCAATGACATTGTTTCTGATATAAGTAGCATAGATGAACCAAGTGTCAGTGGCTCTTGTGGTGGTATTACTAGGCAAAGATTTGCCGTCTCAACAGCACAACCTGCCAAGTGCCATGTCACCAGCCATGTGGATACTAACAACAGTGAGGCTTCCACTTCAGCTTTTCGTGGTTGACCTATTGTAGTGTAGAAGCGCATTCATCTCCTGGCCAACGGAGCTTTATTACAAGAAAACAGTGCAATGGTGTTGATGCTTGTGCTGGTGGCAGCGATGTGGTGACTCATGTGTAGGTGACAGAGCAAGCAGCGGTGTTACACCCGCTTTCCCATATACTGGTGACAATATGAGTGAAAGCAAATATTTTATGGCTTATTTTGATGAGCCATACATGAACCATTTTGTTGATGAAGTCAACAGAAACAGTACAACTCACTGCATGTGGCTTATTTGCAGCTTCACCTATGATACAATGGAAAGAGACAACTGTGGCTGAAGTGTGTGTGTGTTTCTTGCATTGTGTAAGATGATGATACATGCTGTGAAACAAAACATATTATTGCAACAAAGACTACACTGTTCCAACCTCAGTTTTCAACAAGTACATGTCACAAGATAGGTTCTTGCTACTTCTAAAGTGCTTACACTTTGAAAACAATGATAATATGGATTGAAATTATAAGACTTTGGTAAGTGAAAAAAGTGCTCAGTGATATGAGAGGATTACTTTTTACCAGACCAGAATGTAATGATTGATGAATCGCTAGTTCTTTTCAAGGAATGTCAAAGGATTGGACTGTAGAGGATGAGTATGTTGGGCTAAGGCATGGTGGATCCAGAATTAGGTTCAAGGAGCTATGGACGGTCAATTGCAGGAACAAACATACTGTATACAGTAATGTATAACACCAAAATTCACATAAATCACCATATATTAAGTCCAGTATCTGTCCTACAATCATCAAATCCTTCTCATTCATATTAATGTCTAGATTTTATGAGTAGAGACCTCATAAAATCCCTAAATTGTAAACTTTTTCCAAGAATATACCATCAGCACAGAAAATATTAAAATTATTCTTAATCTAAAAATATATGAAGCCTATACCTGTACTTAGGCTCTTAATTCTCTGTCTTCTTAATGAAACCTTTATTGTTATAGTTTAGTGTTGACAATAACATCCCAATGAACTAGCTGTAAATTCACATTGCAGCACTGAGAAATGCAAATTAACACAAGACAAAAAATCATAGCTCTTGCTTCCATTTACGGGTTTTCCCTTCAATTTATCAAGCAAGGGTTATTCTCACCTGTCATATTTATCCTGCCAGTGATCACACTGTGCTCTCAGGACAGCCACCTGACCTTGTGGGTAGTGATCAGGCCTGTCCTGTGCCATCTGTGCTTCCAGCTGTACTATGGCCACGTCACGATCCAGCAGGCGTCGCTTCAACACTTCCAATTCACTACGTAGGGCAGATGTGCTAACTCCACAGTTTACACAATCACCCCCCTGCAAAATAAAGAAAAGTATCCAAATTATTTCACGTAATATAGTCTAATCTCCTGCATCTGGTCAGTCATTGGTACCAAAACACCAGCGTTCGTTAAATACAATGAAACTATTTGTTCTGGCAGATCCTCGGTGGCTCCCTGTTGCTAGCCAACTAGGTAGATCTTACACATTATGTCACACCAAACCCTTATTATTCTCCAAAAAGGAAAATTAAACAACTTTGAAAATGAGGCACAATATAGCTGGGACTTTCACCTGCAAATAACAGCTTACAACTGCCAGGTGGCAGCATTGGTAACTACTGGACCACTAAGTGCTATCCTTCAGTCATGAGTAAATCAGAGGCAAAACAACCAATACACACACACCTAAAAAAAGGAAAGGAAGGGTCCAGAAAGTGTCAAGTGAACCACCAGAAAGAGACATTTCATTAAATTCAAAACCGATGCTCTGGGAGGACTCCATGATAGTGCCCTGTTATCATCTCACTACGGAGAACAAAAAGGGAAACTTGCCAGAGGCAGGAGAACAGAAGCCAAAAACTCCTGAAAAAGAGGTAATCAATGCTGGGTAACTTTACCTGATGCCACAAACCTGATGTGACCCCAACACACAAACAAGATATTGTGCTGCCAAATGCCCTGAGCCCGAAGAATTAAACAAAACAATACACACATCAGCAAACTTTTGCACAAAATGAACTCGAGGGAAAACTGTAGGCTGGCTAAATGACACTGCAGATGACCTAAAACATGGGTCTTAAAATTGGGCCTAGGACACCAGGTCAAGAAACATGTCACCTAGCGCACAAAAATAATGAAGGACCACTGCAACCGGACACAAAATTTAATGAACCCTTGGCCGAACGAACCAAGAATCAACAATCACAGGACCTCTCAAAAAGCCGGCGATCTATTTCTGAGCCAGAAAAGGAGTAGGTTGCAGATGAAGAAAATGCCTACCTCCTACCAGCATCAAATGAACATAACGTCCTTTCTTCTAAAGGATGATACAAAGTTCCCTTTCCTGGCAACCAGAATGAAAGCCAACAAGAACAGGCTGGTTGGAGACCAGGCCGTGGGGCCTTTGATTCCTGGAACCTCCACAAGGTATATACAAGATAGGTATATAGGGGTTTGTATATAGCAAAGTTATAGGGGGAAGGGCCTGTGGCCGAGTGGAGAGCGCTTGGGACTCATAATCCTAGGGTCCAGGTTTGATCCCCGGCGATGGCAGAAAACAAATGGGCAGTTTCTTTCACCCTGATGCACCTGTTACTTAGCAGTAAATAAGAGTCTGGGAGTAAGACAGCTGTTATGGCCTGCTTTTTGTGGGCATGTGTGTGGCAGGGGGGGAAATTGATTTATTGACAGTCAAGAGACTTGCAAAATGCTGCCAACATTGTATAAAAAACAAATGCCAACAAAAAAAAAGCTCCACCTGTTCTAAATTATATGGAAAATGGTACTGGATGCTGAACAACAAACGACTAGGACAAAAAGAATAGGCCTACAGGAACTGAAATTGAAGACAAACAATGAAGAGACAGGAAAAAAAAAGTAGCACTAGACTTCACATTCAGAAAAACATGAAGGTTCAGACAATGGGCCAGAAGGGCTGGAAATCATGGCTGAGCCAGCCACCAAGGAGCCAGAAGGACCACCCTACCAGCAAACATCTCTAGATTGGAAAGCACCAGAAGCAGCAGCAACTCCAGTTCAGCTGAAAAGTACCCACTGCCAGAGCCTCTCGATCAAGTAATGCATCTGATGGTCCATGGCAAATAAGATGAAATTTTGGGAAACTGGTATAAAGACTAGAGCCAAACTTTGCCCAGGACATAAAGCATGTAGGCAAAGTTAAGACTCTCACACAGTCACTCGATTATTGACCAAGTAACTCTGCATCTCCCCAACACCATCCGGAGCCGTGCACTCAAGTGTAGCAGGGCCGGATGTGAAAGATAGGGAAGCTGACCAAGAATCCCAGACCAGGCCCAACAAAGTCCAAACCTGTGATGGAACCAACTGCGATTTCCACCATTTGGCCAGGAACACAAACCTAGCCAGCTGGGAGCCCAAACCAACCATTTGTTGAGGTAAACTTTGATGTGGACCCCAGCAAATGAAGATGAGAAACCACAACCCAGGTCAATTTGGTGAAAGTCTGCGGATCTAGATTCAAGCCAAACGGGATAATGCAAATTGATGATGATAATGCCTCACCATGAACCTTAAGCAATCTCTGAACCTGGGATGAAATGAAATGTGTTAATAGGCATCCTTCAGGTCCATGAACACCAAGCAGACCTGACAACGGGATTAAGTAAAAGTTATTAAAATCCGAAAGATCAAGAATGTCTAGTAGGTCCAGCAAGTCTTATTTGGGGATTGAGAACAGATAAAACACCCACTGCAAGGCAAGGAATAACTTAGCCACTTCAGAGTGAAACACCTCTGCAGAGACCAAAAGAAGCTTTAGGGTAGATGACTAGCCCAGAAACTCCCCCCGTGACACCAAATGATGGGTTGACAGCCACCCTCCACTGTAGGACCTGAGGCACACCATGAAGGCCCAGCATCACAAGCCCAAAAGCTGGCAAAACAAGGCAGACATTCTTTCATAGCAGTATCAAAGGGGCAAGCCACAAAAGTGCTTGCACAAAACACTAGGAGTTGATGGCCGCTTTTACAACATCTGAGAATGGTAATGACCACAGGAAGCAAAATCTGGAGGAGGTACCAAGGCCTGGAACTTCAGGATGCCTAATTAAACTATCAGTAGGTAGGTCTGAAGCTAGGAAAACTGCCTTCAAGAAGCAGGGACTGAACTCTGGTTTAACTAAACCTAACTGGAAGGCTGGAAAGCAATGGCATTAGTCAACATGATGGAATAGACAGCTGCCTAATGGAATAGAAGAAGATAGAAAGAGGAGGTGGAGGATAGGGAAAAGATTCAAGCAGAATCTAAAATGGCTTGGAGAGAAGTGAGCAGCTTGGGGAAAGCCTTGGGGAGTAGCTGCTAAGTGGGCAAACTAACAATTTGCAGGAAAATACTGTGGTTTCTCTTGGAGGCGAGGCTGAAGGTCATTTCAGGCTGGATAGAGAGAAATCTCCAGTCTTCCTTCAATGCCAAATAGCAGGGGCATTTGGAAAGATCCTTGGTGTGCTGTGGAGTAATTGTCAACTTTGCTATGCTGTTTAGTCATATACAGGGGTACCTCGGTTTAAGAATTTAATCTGTTCCTGAAGACAGCTCGTAACCCGAAAACTCGTAAACCGAAGCTAATTTCCCCATAAGAAATAATGGGAAATGAATCTGTTCCTGACTACCCATAAACCTCACTTCAAACTAAATTTTATACCTAATTCATCCAAATCTACACTACAAAAGTATGTTCAAGTTATTACTGTACTTACCCTTGCTGATGACTCCTGTTGGCATATGGAAGATGGTGAGGAGGGGGGGAGGAGGAGAGGTGTTACTGTTTGGAAGGGGAGTCCCCTTTCATTATAACATCAGGCAGTGAAGATTTTTCTGGAGTGCACTCTCTGGCACGTTTTGCCTGCATACTACTAGGTCCTGGTTGTGGCTCACTTCTTTATTTTCTCACTTTTCTCTTGAGGAAATGTTCCATTGTAGATTGTTTTTCCCTTCTTTACAACATTTGTCTGTAGTAAGGCATCACATTGTCATTAAAAAGATCAATGCAACGGCCTACTACAGCTTTATCTGGGCGATTCTTTTCAGCAAAACTTTGCAGTCCTTCCCATACTGCACACATTTTCTTAATTAATGAGAAAGGAACATTCTCTACTGCCTCCTCTTCCTCCCCCGAAGATTTGTTGTACTGCCTAGCTAGTTCAACAACACGCATATCATTTTCATGCTTTCAAATAATCTCTTGTTTTTCCTCTATTGTCATCCTCACATGCAATTTCTTGCCTTGATCCTTACCACTGGCTTTCTTGGGACCCATAGCAAGATATATAATAACTTTTATGCTCAAATGGCCAAATATCTGACAAAAAACTGTAAATCCTTGTGAAGAATTTGGGTGGGATAGTCACTGGGCGCGAGGCACTGGTAAACTGAGGCGCGATCGCCGTGCCACCACACGTTAGGTTGGCCCGTACGCTTATCAACAAACTCATTATCCGATGCAATGCTCGTATCCCAATGCAAATTTTCCGAACAAATCGGGCTCGTAACCCGAAAAACTCGTAAACAGGGACGGTCGTAACCCGGGGTTCTACTGTACTTGGGAGAGCAGGATATTGCCTAAAGAAACAAACTGGTGGTATAAAAATAAATAAAATGAAAGTAAATACAAAAAGTACCCAACTACAGATTTTATACGTTGAATATCATAAAACTCACCTGCTGGCCATAACTTTTGTTCATCTCTCTGGGTGTCCCTTGTACACCCTGATCTCTGACAGCATCTGCAAAAATGAAAAAAATCTCAACCCCTTTGCATTTGTAACATCTTACAGTTACACAAAGAAATCACACCAGCATGATATAACTCAGAGTGAATGGGAGTTACATGCAAAACTTGGACTGGCTTCAGTAGAGGCCTCTAGACTTCCTGTGGATTTAGTTGAATCATAGGTTTTATAACTTATACCATGTTGTGGTACAGGGGTAAGGTGCGTGCCTGGCAGTACCTAGATTGCTGCTTTGAGTCACCTCCTTGCTCAAATTTATTTTCTCATAACTTATACAGTAGTGTTAAAAATGTTAACAATTCACCAAAACTCATGAAATATTAATGAGTCACATCTTCATTCCTGGCTTGTGTGCCCCAAGATTGCCTTACTGTGGAACCCTGCAATGTTCAATATCATTGCAACACTCGACCTCTGACCTTGCAGACGATGAATCACAATAACGTGGCTGAAAATATTATGTCCAAACCACACATCAGAAAATGAAGATACATTATTTTTGCCCATACTGGGCCATTGTCATGACTTGATAATGTCCAGGATGGACCAAAGCATCGTAATTGCTACATTTTTTGATGAGTGGTTTGGACATCTCTTGACCTCCTTATCCCTGACAGTTACAGGCACAATACACTCAAGCTATATTTCAAGTCACATACTTATAATATAATAATATATTATAGTTCCTGTGGGACCACTGTGCTGGACCCCCACAGCAGGACCACTGTGCTGGACCCCACAGCAGGACCACTGTGCTGGACCCCACAGCAGGACCACTGTGCTGGACCCCCACAGCAGGACCACTGTGCTGGACCCCCACAGCAGGACCACTGTGCTGGACCCCCACAGCAGGACCACTGTGCTGGACCCCACAGCAGGGGCCCTCTTGGGCAGAGCTGGACCCCCTAATGAGCCCCACTGAAACTCCACACAGGATTCCTAGCGACACTACACTTCACATCCGTTGGGCTAAATGCTGAACCCACTGAAGGGTATATTGGACACCCAATGGGTCCCTCATGACCCTACATTGGGCACACATTGGACCCAACGCTGGGCCCCCTGTTCATCCCACACTGGAAACCCACTTGGCCCCTTTGGTGAACCTGTTGTCCTTGCCCACACCAGTAGCCCCTTAGACCCCATGCTGGACTTCCCCCTGCAACTCACTCTTGGAACCCACTGAACTGCTCGACACGTAAACACTCCAGTCGTCACCCTTGACCCACAAACTCCCACGTCATTTCCTATTTGAGTGGCTGGCGGTGGCCTGGCTGAGGCCCAGGGTTACCAGGATGTGGAGGTGTGGGGTTTACTCACCAGTGTGGAGGATGGGGGAAGGCGTCGAGGGTGAATACGGTGGAGTGGGAGTGAGGGAGGTGAGTAAGGTTGACAACACAGCTGGCGGCGCCGCCTCGCGCCACCAGTAGGGTCCAAGACCTGGGTCAATTTTTCACCCTACCCACGTCATCGCTGCTCTCTAAGTAAACCTAACTCAACCCGACCCAGTCTAGTCTAGTTTATCCTATTCTAACCTAACCTAACCCAAATATGAGATAAACTGTTGTTTCATATATGGTATACACACACACACACGGGTGCGTGACGTCACTTTGACGTCATAATTTTATCCCGGCTCAGGTTTTAGGTTCATGAAGAGTTACTCGCGCCTCTACAACTACACCATCCCCCCTACCCCCACAAGAACCACAAGAACCATCCCCCCACCAGGACCTCGCCCCCTCTATCCCTCCCAATCACCAAGACTTCCCTCATTTGCATTTCCCACACTTGCTCCTCCCGCTCCCCAACCATAATTTCCCACCACCACCAGCCTCCCATCCTGCAACAACTTCCCCACACAATCTTTCCCCATCACCACCGCGTCCCCACTAGCAAATGGAGGAAATGTATATGTTTATCTCTCAGAATGTTTGGTAACATGTTTATTGTTTGTGATGTGTGTCTATGTATGTACTAACACGTTGTACTGAATGGGGTGAGAATAGCTTGAGCTACCTCATCCCTTTGTGTGTATTTTACCTCAATAAACTTATTTCAATTTCAATTTCAATTCAATTTCACTAGCAACTACCCAAACCATTGACATATTCCCATTAATCTTTAATATCCATCTTGAATTTTTTTTATCAGGAATCAACACAAATGGGGGGACCTTTTACTTTTTTTTATTAAGCTTAAGTACGCAAAGCAGTGTGCTGCTACCCTATTATATGTGAAAGATTACATAGTGTAGATAAAAAACTAGCTATAAGTTCATCTTATAACTTATAGGATGGTTAGTCATACATGAAATTAGGAGAGAACATGAAATGTAAGGCTGATCTATGAGCCTCCACTAGCGTGCTGGGTGCAGCACATTATTCCTGAGTGTATGAAGTAATTACAGAGCTAAAAGTACCTCAAACCATTTGGTCTGGACCCCTCAGGATTATTACTTTTTTATTTTTTATTTATACATGAGTTCTTACATTCGTGTAAAGCCACTAGCACGCATAGCGCTTCGGGCAGGTCCTTAATCCTATTTAACTCTAGAGTATGACCCGCTATATCGTTTAATAACCAGGTACCCATTCGCTGCTGGGTGAACAGAGGCTACACTTAAGGATTGGCACCTGGTCAATCCTCCACGGCCAGAAGGATACGAACCTTGGCGAAAGCGCTTGCGTCGAAGCGCCGGGTAAGTGTCTTTAATTACCACTGCGCCACGGGGGACATAAATATCCAGGCATGGAGATCTCATCTTCAGAAAGACATAGCTGCTTTGGAGAAGGTGCAACACCGGGCAACAAAAATCATTCCACAACTGTCACCTCTCGTATCAGGATGGGTTTAGGGCCACAGGGCTAACAACACTGCAAACCAGGTATGACAGGGCGGATCTCATTGAGACTTGAAATACTAAATAATTTAGATGATGTTGATCCGGACAATTTTTTCATAAGGTCAGATGTAACACAAACAAGGAGCAATGAATTTGAGCTCAACAAGCCACAATGTAGGACTGAGAACAGATGCTTTTCACCCAAAGGGATATAAACTAAGGGAACCGTTTACCCGCTGAAGCTGTAAAAGCCAAAACTCTGTTGGGTTTTAAAATACAACTGAAAAAGATCATCAGGGCAAATGGAGGGACCTTTGACAAGCCGCCGGCTTCCTGTACTTTAGGCCACTAGTATTAGTGGCCCTCAGGTAAAAAAAATTCAGGTGATAGTGTACTACCAACAAGAAGAAAAATTCCAATTTATTTTTATTATTTATTTGATTAAGCTTAATTTCAGGCATAAAGTTACATATTATTATAAGCTTCATGCTGTAAAGATTAATCTTAAAATCTTATAAAATAATTACATTAAATGATTTTGTAATACTACATTAGTTTACAATCCCAATGAGACATTAATATTAGCTGTATGTATGTATATACAATACTGACGCATCGCGTTACATGTCGATAATTCATTATCACTATTTGATATTAAGACAGTTTAACTTCAGCTTTTCTCTACTCTTAATTAATAGGGCAGAAGGTGGCAGCTTCTGTTGGAAGTTGGTCCTTGGTGACGAGACAGAAGTCATCGAAGGACTCGTGCAGGGAGCTGACGAGTGTGAACTGCTCTGGTCTCACTCCACACAGTTGGTGCACCTTCTCCACGGTTATTGGCGTGTCTAGGATTAAACACAAAAATGCAAAATGAATATATCTCTGATATTGAAGATCTAAATATATATAAGAAATTTAAGGAGGGTTTACTACGGTAAATGTAACTTAAAGAAATTATCGGTTTAGATTCGGTTACAAGTATCTCTAGGAATTCTCATTATCTGCTGATGTAGACCTGACCAAATGTAAACTGTGTCAACAAAATTATTCGCACACCCTCCGTCACTATGTGATGGAGTGCGAAAAAGATACGTGAATTCAGAGACAATTCTATAACAAATGTTTCAAACATGTGTAAATATTTCATTCAAAATGATCTGCTACCAGAAACTTTAGCCAAATATCCTCAGTTTGCTAATTGTAGGTAGTAACTAAGTGATTGTAACCTATGCACCGCTGCTCGCTAGATGGGGGGCGGTGTGCAGGACAAACACATCAATTGTGACATTAGCTCTCCACATGTCAGTTGCTTAATTTAGAAACTGTACTTGTGGTCGATCTCGAACCCATTAATGATGTGACGACTTATACTGAATTTTGTAACTAGCTCACCAAGATTGTAACTTGCTTAGCTAAATGAATTGTGGGGTTCAGTCCCTGAGCCCACTATGTGCCTCTGTAACCCTTTCCACTCCCGCCCACAAGATGGGTATGGGGGGCATAATAAATGAACTATTGTTTATAACAGAGTTCTATTACATTTTTATATTCACATATTTTCTAAGATACTGTACTTACTTTTATGTACACTAAACCAGGGTATATGATTTTGTCTACAACAAAAACTTCTTTAATTCATATTTTACCAACACACACACACACACAAACTTTTCACGACTTTTGCTAGGCCAAAGCTGGAATATGCAGCGGTTGTGTGGTGCCCATATCTTAAGAAGCACATCAACAAACTGGAAAAGGTCCAAAGACATGCTACTAAGTGGCTCCCAGAACTGAAGGACAAGAGCTACGAAGAGAGGTTAGAGGCATTAAATATGCCAAAACTAGAAGACAGAAGAAAATAAGGTGATATGATCACTACGTACAAAATAGTAACAGGAATTGATAGAATTGATAAGGAAGATTTCCTGAGAACTTCAAGAAAAAGAGGTCATAGATTTAAGCTAACTAAACAAAGATGCCGAAGAAATGTAAGAAAATTCACTTTCGCAGAGTGGTAGACGGTTGGAACAAGTTAGGTGAGAAGGTGGTGGAGGCCAAGACCGTCAGTAGTTTCAAAGCGTTATATGACAAAGAGTGCTGGGTAGACGGGACACCACGAGCGTAGCTCTCATCCTGTAACTACACTTAGGTAATTAATAATAATAATAAATGGCATAATAATACACACACAATGCACGCAACACACCCAAACCCCAATAAAACACGAAACAATTACTACAAACTGGATAAGCATATATTCACAAAAGATCTGGGTAGATGTTGATTTGGAAACAGGGTTCTTCAGTTATAGGACTGATTACCGGGTAACATAATAGACTTGGAATAATTAGGGGTCAGTATGTGTTACCCTTGCATTAATCTGACACTCACCCATGTTAAACCAGTCATCGTCTCCATTTGCAGCTCTGAATGCAGTTATGGCGGCGCGGAGAGCCGTGACTGTAGCGTAGGAGAGGCACAGCGCCGGCTCCCCAGTTGCTGAGTGGACACACAAATAATAATAATAATAATAATAATAATAATAATAATAATAATAATAATAATAGAAAATTTTATTTACAAAAAGGTACAATGGGTTTGTGAGATTATATATGATTGGTATTTTTACATTCTTGCGAAGCCACTTCATACTGTATGTCAGGGTATACATCATCTCTTACTCATTAACTGCATAGATTTTGTGAGATACTTGTCACCGTCAACAATATTGCACATGAACGTAAATTTAAACAAAAGTGTTTTGTTTAAAAGCGCTTTTTACAATTTATATCATATGGTTCATCCTGAAATGTATAAAAGCAAGATTTTTTCCTGGAATGCTGCATAATTGATTGTAATATGAATTTAGATGATACGCTGAAATTCCAGCTCCTTGTCTTCATAGCTTTTCCAAATGCTATAGTCAACCTGGGTTTGCGCTTTATCCTGATCTTTACTTCAGGCCAGACTGGTGAATGATCTCTGAATCATTACCTGACATTTGACCAATTAATTATTAAGATGATCCCTTTCTTTCAAGTGTGTTGTGATTCCTCTAGATATTCCTTCGGCTCGTGCTGGAATTGAAAGCAATGAACAGGCTAATGAGCATGTGGATCTTATGGTGTTCATTGCGTGATAATACGGAGGTTATTGAATTAATATCTCTTATTATTTATTGCTCAGGCCCTATTCTCCGAAATGTGTTACCGTAACCTGCATAAATGCGGACTCAAGAGGGCACCTTTAGAAGGGTTCAGACAGCCTCAACCCGTCTAAAAGGCCTCCCTTTATATACCGTTCACAGGCGTTATTGGCTGTTATTAGGCTATTTACAGTTTCTGTGATGTAAAGAAAGCTTCTAATCCTATGAAAATTGTCACACAAATACAAGTCCATAAATCTGGTTGCAGTGATCGATCGAGGGTTTCATAATATTCCGAATCCTTATATATGAGTGCTGCCGCCAGAGACGGTTATTTTATTGTGCACCCCATACTCATCCTGTGAGCGGCAGTTTGTGCACCCTATACTCATCCCGTGAGCGGTAGTTTGTACACCTCATATTCATCCTGTGGGCGGCAGTTTGTGCACCCTATACTCATCCTGTGAGCGGCAGTTTGTGCACCCTATACTCATCCTGTGAGCGGCAGTTTGTGCACCCTATACTCATCCCGTGAGCGGTAGTTTGTACACCTCATACTCATCCTGTGAGCGGCAGTTTGTGCACCCCAAACTCATCCTATGAGCGGCAGTTTGTACACCCCATACTCATCCTGAGAGCAGCAGTTTGTGCATCCCATACTCTTTTTAATATTCTACCATTTATTCGGTGTGCTTGTAATTTGCCAGTCTTTCATGTGGTACCTCATCAAAAGCTTTAGCGACCGCGAGCTCCGTCATCGCCCACCCGTTCTCTTAAAAATAACGTAGCTTTCCGCTCGTATAAAAAATGGCCAAAAATGAACGTAATTTGAAATGAAATCGGCACACAAAAGTGATGTCCTGTCCCGTTTTCTGTTGTAAGCCCTCCAGCTTAATCGGTTAGGTTAGGAGAGGAAACTTTCAATTAACGTTTTTCATTACGCTTTGAACCTTTAGGAGAATTTCCTGCCACCCTAACCTACCAGAGGACCCTTAACTTGCTGTTTTGGAAAAAAAAATCCAAAATATATTTTCAATTTTTTTTCATTTTCATATTACGCCCATTTTCGGCCATACGGGCAAACGGCCAAATTTAGACATAATTTGTAAGAGGACAGGTAACTTAGGCAGAGAGGGAGCCCCGATGGACCAAATCACCATACTTGCAACCACTCAAAACCGTTATATCATCCATTATTTCCACAAGGTCATTCAGGGAGGCACTATTGTCTTCACAAATAGTTTAAAAGTATCATGTCTGGGGAGTCACCGGATTAGTGTAATAATGCAGACACAACTGCCCTTCACTTTCCAGAGGCTGGGTGTGGTACTGACGACTTAAATGATTTGTCATAACATTTCTATACTCTATTTCTAGAGACCTCTGTCGCTCGGAGGCCGTACATTCCATCCAATGAAATGCTTTAGTTTCTCCACAGTATTTCACTTGCTGGGATGGCAACCGTTTCCGAGACAGAATTAAGAAGAATAAATGAAAAGAACAAGTTCTCTCTAAGGATAGTTACTTTTGGGATAATTTCTGAGCATCAAGGCATGAGTGTAGAGATTTTGTTGCAGCCATATGTAATCATTTTCCTGATGTCACTCAATGTTAAGAAATGGTTCTGAATTTTGTCAGTAGAGGGGACTACGCGTCCTAATCCCAAAAGTGATCTACCAAGTACCATAATGTTGAAAGCTCGAAGCTTTCACACGAGTGTATTCTGCAAATATCGCACAGAAATAACAAAAAATAATAATATTAAAACTTTAAGATAAAAACCTTATTGGACACAAGAACTTTTGAAATAAATAATTTAAATATTCCTCTGAAACTTTTATGCATGCATAATAATAGGTCTTAATATAATTTTTCAATTAGGCTTTTTGTAACACAAATCTGCTTACCTTTAGAGCCAAGGACGCCGTGAGCGTTTGACGTATTAGATAAGAGACTAATCCTCATGTCAACCGGGATGTCCAGAGCTGTTGGTGGTTTGTATTCCTGCGGATAATAGAACGTTCATGTTGAAATTAATGATCTATTAGTCAACTATCCCTTATTAATTGGCACTAACCTTTTAATAATGCGTGTGATAATTCAGTTTTTAATTAATATCAGTATATAAATCATAGTTTCTCTTAACTTAAATGATCAGGAACAGGGGCACATATATTTACAAAAAGTTAACTGCTAATAATCCTTTACATTTGTTACATTTGCTCAATATTTTCATACACCAAATATACTTGTAATTACAAATCTATTTCACTAATTATCCCTTGATTATTTCTCCATTAATATAACATCCAACTTATTTTCTAATACTGCATGACATTGCCAGGTAGTCTGAGATGCCATATTGTATGGCAAGTCATATTTGTATACAACGAGTGTATGGCATGCCTGGCTTGTATACAACCAGTGTATGGCATGCTTGGCTTGTATACAACCAGTGTATGGCATACCTGGCTTGTATACAACCAGTGTATGGCATACCTGGCTTGTATACAACCAGTATACAAGGGATACCAAGGGTACACGCTGGTCAGAAACCAGAGTATACCCTTCCACAACGTAATCAGTCTCGTCCCGAGGCTGGCTGCACCATTTTCTACAACTGAGAAATAAGCACAAGCTATACAAGCGTCTCCAACTTGCTCCGAAAAATACGCGAAATTTTCTAACTGTGAAACAAAATTTGTTGCGTTCCCTTGATTGTCTCCAGTTAGCCAATCCCTTAAAGGAACGAATTAACTTTTATATAAACGACGCATAACTACATATTTCACATGAGGCAATTCTAATCTCCCAAAATGTAAACAATAAATATAAAGTATCCATTCTTACCCAAGTGCTATTTGACAGCTTTTGGCCGGTACTGGTATCGTATTTCACCATTTCTGATGTGTAGAGCCCCATGCCCATGACAAAGGCTCCTTCCACTTGACCAATGTCCACATACGGATTCAGACTCCTCCCGCAGTCTTCAATTATATCTGCACGGCGGAACTGTCCAACAAACCAATTAACATTAACTCAGGAGACGTATATACAGCGTTGATTTTTGATAGAATAATGACAAAAAAGATTTAAATAAAATTAAGTATGAGTCAGACATTAAAAATATAATATTGGTCTTTGACATGTTAGCGAGAACAACAGCAGTTTGAGACGAGACACAAGTTCAGGGAAGCTGTAAGTGATAGCAGTGAAACCTGCTAACATTAACACACAACCTCTTCTACCATAATATGCTGGTTAGCATTGTAAATGTGTGGCCACGTTTGTGGTAGAAAAAAATAAGAAATAAAATAATTGGGAAATGTGAATAAAAGAGGTACTTTTGAAGAAAAGTTGTGAAATCAATAATATATGAGTTGAGCAATGCTGAAATGCGAACAAGTTTAGTCATATTTAATATGGATCTTAAACTAAAAATAAAATGCATAAATGTACAAATGAAGGAAAAGGATACTGAGATTTATATCTTTAAGTATTAGCAATAAGACCTCTAATGTTATTTTTCCACTTCGGTCTCTGTACTGTAGAATGGATATAAATTGCTTTAAACTCGTGCAGAGAAGGATGACAAGTGACTTCAGACCAAATGGTATGAGGTACTTTGAGCTCTGTAATTACTTTATACACTCAGGAATACTGGAAGATATTTTCGTGCTGTGCCCAGATTTTGCTGGTGCGAGTTAATAGATCATTTACATTTCAGGTTCTACGGATTTTTAGTCAGAGTTGATCTGTTTTTGTATTGAGGCAGGTATTTTCTCCCCCGATTCCATGTACGACTAACCATCCTGTGAGATGGGCATATTAGATGAACTTATAGCTAGTTTTTGATCTACACTATGTAATTTTTTTTGTTTAATTTTGCCCCGAGGAGCGAGTTTATTGGACAGCGCCACTCATCCTGTGAGTGGTCATACCGCCATAGCAGCATGTACAACACTCCCCAATAGGAAGAAAACCCGCTGGGTTGTTCATCACAAGTGACAACATCCTGTCACTTGTACCCAGACACAGTTGGGACTTGCTTAACTGTAATCTTTCATATAGAATAGGCTGGCAGCACATTCCTGTGTATACCTAAGCTTGTTAATAATAATAAAAAATTCCAGGAATTAGAAATTGTCAATAAGAACGACAATTTATTGATTAAATATTTATTTACCAGATACTGTCCGGTTAAGACGTCAATCTCCACCTCGAGACAACAGGCGGCCCAGATGTCGTAGCGCTCGGGGTGCTCCCGTCCGGCAGTCCTGAGGACGTCAATATATATTTACCAGGACGTCTGTTACCTTCAGGTAAATACTGTCAATATAATTACAAAATATTAGTTTAATAAAAGACCAAAGTAATGATTTAAAATTTAAAATAAAGAATAGAGGTCTTGAGACAAAAATTTGTAGACGAATAAATTTATAAGTCATGACTGGTGAGCAAATACATTTAACAGTTATAACCTGGTGCTAGACATTAAGACTTGCTAGAAGGTAGAAACTAATCCCAAGACCTCTTGAAGTCATCGTTCCATAATTAAGGTAAACAGACCACCGGTGAGAAACACCTGGATAATAATGAGAAAGGGAAAGTATTGGGGTCAGAACCTCCAATCTTCCCTACCACAAGTCACTCATGATTATGGGTTTTCATGGTCGAGGACAGGCATCCTGTCAGGCTTACTGAGGTGACCTCTAGGTCAACTGCTGACCTTAAGGCAACGACTGATCTTCGTTCAGGTCGATAGATCTACTGGGGAAACTAGTGAACTTTTCTGCAGTATTGCCGACTTGTTTTTTTCGATTGCCGAAAGAAGTACAACAATACAACAATACAATTTTATTTAGGTAAGGTACATACATACAATAAATATTTACAGGGATTGTTTAACTTATAGGTATAGCTAGTACAGACAATGCCTAAAGCCACTATTACGCAAAGCGTTTCGGGCATGATAAACTTAAATGACAAGCTTAATACTAACTGAGCATAATGAGTAGAATGAAAACAAGAAATGAAAACATAGATGAAAAAGCAGCACAAATACAATTATGTCGACAAACAGCCTATATCAAGGCAAGACCTATATCAATCCTGCCTAACTTGTCAAAAATATTCGAAAAGCTAATCTACAAGCAGCTTTACTCTTTTCTAGCCAAACACAATATACTTAGCTCTTGTCAATATGGCTTCAGACCCAAAAAAAGCACTAACGATGCACTTATTAGTATGATTAACTTAATTCACGCAGCTCTTGATAAAAAGGAGTTTCCTGTTGGGTTATTTGTGGACCTGCGTAAGGCTTTTGACACTGTCAACCATCAAAACCTTCTTCTTAAATTACATCATTATGGAGTCAGAGGACACTCCCTGCAATACCTCAAATCTGATCTTACTGACAGGCTCCAGTATGTTTCTGTGAATAATACAATTTCTCCCACCCTACCCATCAACATTGGTGTTCCTCAGGGCAGCATACTTGGCCCTCTCCTCTTTCTCATCTACATTAATGACCTTCCAAATGCCTCCCAACACCTCAAACCAATTCTATTTGCTGACGACACAACCTTCATTTACTCCAGTCCTGACCCCCTTGCTCTAAATGCCACAGTAAATACTGAGCTAGAGAAAGTCCATCTTTGGCTAACTGCCAACAAACTCACCCTTAACATTGACAAAACGTTTTATATTCTGTTTGGCAATAAATCTTCTAATCAGATAAATCTCAAAATAAACAATACCCAAATTTGTAACAAATTAGATGGCAAATTCCTTGGCGTTCTCATCGACCACAAGCTGAATTTCCAGGGTCACATTCTAAATATATCAAAAAAAGTTTCAAAAACTGTTGGCATTCTTTCTAAGATCAGATATTATGTACCCCGCCCTGCCCTGGTTACTCTCTATTACTCCCTCATCTATCCATACCTCAACTATGGTATTTGTGCTTGGGGTTCTACTACCCAAAATCATTTACGTCCTCTCATTACCCAACACAAAGCTGCTATTAGGACAATAACCAACTCTGGCCCCAGACATCACTCGGTACCCTTACTCAAATCTCTGAATATGTTAGATATTAAGTCACTGCACATTCTCTCTTGTGTCTTATACATATATAAAACACTGATCTGTAATGCCAATCCTGACCTCAAAAGCTTCATTGAAGGTTGTAACAGAACCCATGAGCACCACACCAGGAATAAATACAGTTTTGATATTCCTAGAGTACGACTTAATCAAACTAGAAATGCTCTACAAATCAAGGGACCCAGAATGTGGAATGACCTTCCCAACCATGTTAAAGACTGTACCTCTCTCAACCAGTTTAAGATAAAAACTAAACACTACCTAATAAATTCCCTGTAACCCACCTCACTCCTTTATTGTCAACCCATGTCTGTTATTTTATTTTATTATTATTATTTTTTTTTTTTTTTTTTTTTTTTTTTTTTTTTTTTTTTTTTTTAAATCAACACTGTTTGTCAACCTATTGTATTTGTGCTGCTTTTTCAGTCATGTTCCCCCTTTTTTTATCTTTATTTGTACTTGTTTTCAACATTTTTTATTCTTTATGCTCAATTAGTAATAAGTTCTAGTTATTAATGTTTTTCTTGCCCGAAACGCATTGCGTAATAGTGGCTTTAGGCATTGTATGTACTAGCTCTATCTATATATCAATCCATTAATGTAACATCACTTGTATGTATGTACCTTACCTGAATAAACATATTTATTTATTTATTTATTTAACAGCGCTCTTTAAAGAAAAAAATAGACATTGGTTAACAATAGAAGGGTAAGGTAGGTTACAGGGAATTTATTAGGTATAGCTTCGCTTTTAACTTAAACTGGTTGAGAGAGGTACAGTCTTTAACATGGTTGGGAAGGTCATTCCACATTCTGGGCCCCTTGATTTGTAGAGCATTTCTAGTTTGATTAAGTCGTACTCTAGGAATATCAAAACTGTATTTATTTCTGGTGTGATGCTCATGGGTTCTGATACAACCTTCTATGAAGCTTTTGAGATCAGGATTGGCATTATAGTTTAGCGTTTTATATATGTATAATACACATGAGAGAATGTGCAGTGACTTAATGTCTAACATATTCAGAGATTTAAGTAGGGGTACCGAGTGATGTCTGGGGCCAGAATTGGATATTGTCCTAATAGCAGCTTTGTGTTGAGTAATTAGAGGACGTAAGTGATTTTGGGTAGTAGAGCCCCAAGCACAAATACCATAGTTGAGATATGGATAGATAAGGGAGTAATAGAGAGTCACCAGGGCAGGGCGTGGTACATAATATCTGATCTTAGAAAGAATGCCCACAGTTTTTGAAACTTTTTTTGATATGTTTAGAATGTGTCCCTGGAAATTAAGCTTGTGGTCAATGAGAATGCCAAGGAATTTGCCATCTAATTTGTTACAAATTTGGGTATTGTTTATTTTGAGATTTATTTGATTAGAGGATTTATTGCCAAACAGAATATAAAAGGTTTTGTCAATGTTAAGGGTGAGTTTGTTGGCAGTTAGCCACAGATGGACTTTATTTAGCTCAGTATTTACTGTGGCATTTAGAGCAAGGGGATCAGGACTGGAGTAAATGAAGGTTGTGTCATCAGCAAATAGAATTGGTTTGAGGTGTTGGGAGGCATTTGGAAGGTCATTAATGTAGATGAGAAAGAGGAGAGGGCCAAGTATGCTGCCCTGGGGAACACCAATGTTGATGGGTAGGGTGGGAGAAATTGTATTATTCACAGAAACATATTGGAGCCTGTCAGTAAGGTAGGATTTGAGGTATTGTAGGGAGTGTCCTCTGACTCCATAATGATGTAATTTAAGAAGAAGGTTTTGGTGGTTGACAGTGTCAAAAGCTTTACGCAGGTCCACAAACAACCCAACAGAGAACTCATTTTTATCAAGAGCTGTATGAATCGAGTTAAGCATACTAATAAGTGCATCGTTAGTGCTTTTTTTGGGTCTGAAGCCATATTGGCAAGGGCTAAGTATAATGAGTTTGGCTAGATATGAGTAAAGCTGCTTATAGATTAGTTTTTCAAAATTTTTTGACAAGTTTGGCAGGATAGATATAGGTCTGTAGTTGTTAACATCTGTGAGAATACCACATTTGTGGACAGGCGTTACTCTCGCTTTTTTTTAGAATATCTGGGAAGGTTTGGAGTTCAAGTGACTTGTTGAAGAGCAAAGCAATAGCAGGGGCTAAAGATCTGGAGGCTTTCTTGTAAATTAAAGTTGGTATCTCCTCAAGGGCACCAGACTTGGTTTTAAGGGAAAGGATTATCTCATTGACGTCAGTGGAATTAATAGGCTTTAGGTACAGAGACTGTGGATAGTTACCTGAAAGATAGTCAATAATGTCTGTACTGGAAGATGGAATATCATTTGCAAGGGATGAACCAATGGAAGAGAAGAACCTATTGAACTCAGTAGCAGAATCAGAGGCTGAAAGCTGACCATCGTTATTAGACAGGAGAGTCGGTTTGTTATTTAAAGACTTCTTTGATCCCAATATTTGAGAAATTGTTCTCCAAGTTTGTTTAATGTTGCTCTTTATTTGGGTAAATTTATCTTCGTAGTATTTAGTTTTGGCTCGTCTAATTAGTGTTTGGTCTTTTTGTCTTTTAAGTGAAGCAAAACAAAATGAGAGAGTGAATTTTTGCGAATTCAAAACATGTTTGCTATCAAAAATTGTTAAGCATATTTCTTTCAATATGTATTTCAACATTGTCTCTCAATTCTCAGTGACCATGAGGAGTATAGTTGATGGCGATTAACTAAACCAGGTACCGTAGGTGAGTGATGGAGGAGTGAGTGGAGGGACACACTGAGGGGTGTCCACATACTCACCAGTACCGTTCAGAGATGTCAATGTCTTCAGCGTGACAGTTCTTAATGAGCTCCACCCAAGACGGGTCATCACCAGTGTCCTTCTTCATCTTCTCCCTGACCACGTCTATACGTTTACGTAAGGCCTCACACGCTACTTTCGCTCCCTGCAAATATCAAACTTTAAACCCAACTCCTTGGTAATAATTTCGTATTGCTACTGATACTAAGAGAGAGATAGGTGGGAGGAGGGAGGGACTTAAATATTTTATAGTAATCTGCAATTAGAGGTTTTCGTCCTATGGATGCTGGAATGATCAGCAATATTAGCAAGTCAGTACTTACATGAGCATGCTGCAGTGCAGGAGCCGGTGGCAGAGCCAATACTTACATGAGCACACAAGTCTGAGCCAAAAGACCCGCCCGTGACAATAGAGTTGGAGCCAATCATGGTGTCAGATGCCTTCAGTATAACAGAGCTCAGTGGGATGCCAAGTTCATACGCAACAACTTGGGCCACCTGCAAAATTTAGCATTATATTATTTAAAAAATAACAACACAAATAAATTTTAACAATAATCACCGATAGTTCATATGGGCAATGATAGCGAATAAACCAATAAATTTTCGAGGTACAGAAAAGGAGAGCGAGATAAATTTAACAGCACTATATACCAGGTACAGGTCATTATCACAAGGGCGAGTGTATCAAGATACATAGGGCCAGGCCTCAAGATAAGCCAACTGGTTGTCGAAGTTACCCGGACTGTCCCGGGGGCAAGCTCACACGTGTAAGGTAGTACAATGCGGTGATGTAGACAATAGACCTCTATGTCTGCAAACAACACACACACACGGGATGACTGTCAGCGCCAGGCTCTATCTTTGAAAGACTCAGGACCAATTGCAGTACACAATTATCTCAGTTCTGGGTTTCCACTATGTGTTATTTTCTCTTCCCCCATTTTTTATGTTTTGTCTTTTAAAATGAGCAGAAAAAAATGGAATACTGTATATACACCTTACTAGCTCAAGATAACAAATAATCGTCAACTTTCTCTGATGAATAACACATGATCGTGATCCCTCCATTGCTCCCCTAACTTAATGGCTGCTCCATACTTTCAGTGTTGATCCTCAGTACTAACTCTTCCAATATTGTTTCCTGCGCCACTAATACAAGGGACGGGGCAATAATGTGAGCCACACTGCCGACAACATCCTCAGGGACAGCCAGCCCTCGACCTGTGTAATTACCTAAGTGTAGTTACAGGATGAGAGCTACGCTCGTGGTGTCCCGTCTTCCCAGCACTCTTTGTCATATAATGCTTTGAAATTACTGACGGTTTTGGCCTCCACCACCTTCTCACTTAACTTGTTCCAACCGTCTACCACTCTGTTTACAAAAGTGAATTTTCGTATATTTCTCCGGCAGCTTTGTTTCGTTAGTTTAAATCTATGACCTCCTGTTCTTGAAGTTCCAGGTCTCAGGAATTCTTCCCTATCAATTTTATCGATTCCTGTTACTATTTTGAACGTAGTGATCATAATGTTGTGTGTTGAGTCCCTGGCACCAGGAGGCGCGCCGGATTGTTTACTCTGGTCTAAGAGTGGACGGAATTGCTTGCGAGGAGGTTAAGGGTATTATTTGATAAGAAAAATGTACCTTATGGATCAAGAGTAAACGAAGTAAAAAACGCAGAATGAGGAGAGAAACAAGTCATCGAAACTAATATTTAAGCAGGAAAAACAAAGAGGGGACGAGGAGATAAAGAAAAATGAAAGAGGGTTATTTAGAAACCGAAAAGCTCTGCTAATGTGAATAGTTATAACTTCAAAGTAATGTGAACACACACACACACTTGGTTGGTACCCGGCTGTGTCCGGGTCTGTCTCCCTTCCTGGCTACTTTCCCCGTTTCCTACTCTCCTCTCTTATCTTTGTTATCTCTCTTTTCCTATCCTCTCCTCTCTTCTCATTTCCCCCCTCTAACTTTTTCCCCTCTCCCCTTGTACTTCCCTCACTCCGCCTTTCTCTCCTCTCACTTCTCGGGCCTCACTACACTCCATTCATCTGGGCTATATATATATCACCTGGGCTATATATATCACCTGGGTTTTATATATCACCTGGGCTTTATACATCACCTGGGCTTATATAATCGATAAAAGCCTAACATGTACGAATACACTCTAATTTCCTGTTCCCCACAATGAATGAATTTGAATTATCTGTTTTATGCTACAATGACCAACATGTAAATAGTAGAAAATATGTTAATTTTCCTAAAATCAGTTGCTAATAGTTACTATAAGAATTTTTGTTTTAACTAGGTGCAGGTGGCGAACATCGTTGTGGGGGTTCAGAATGTGACCCTGGCACGCTGCTCTCTCTTAATACAGGCCACCCCGACCAGCCTATGTCTATCCCGTACCCCAGACCATTCACCCTCTGCAATGCTGGGTGAAGCTAGTCCCCATGTGTCTGGGCCTTGCACAGACAGAGATTCTCTTTTACAGATATAGACAGGGAGGGGTGAGTATATCAGTGAAAAAGACGAATTGTAGCAAAGCTTAGGTGTTGATTGGTACATGGAGAATTCATTAAATGTTATGTATAAAAAGAATGAATTGGGTATAGAGAATATGGAACATGACTGGAAAAAAGTGAGCAGCGATTGTACCACTGTATGGAAAACAGAACGTAACGAACATAGGAATAAGAGAGACATTAGTTTACTAGGTACAGTAGCAACAGTGCATAGCAATTGCAAGGGTCCACGACGTTGTTGAGAAATTGATCACTACTGAACAAGTTTGATTCCTCAGGGCAAAAGGAGGTGTAGATCAAATATCTGCATTAAAACAACTAATGGATAATATATGTTTAAAATAAATGTTAAAGTGTGTATGGGATTTATGTACATGTACAAACATTTGACAAAATTGATCAAAAATGCCTTTGAGAGTAATGAACATTTATGGGCCTCGCAGGATGTTGTTAAATGCTGTGATTTTGTTTATGTAGGAAGTATTGCATGTGTAGGAGTGAACTTGGTGCACTATCAGCCGCAGGTCTGATATTTATGTCGGTGGTCGCCAGGGGTGTGTGGGTCTCCTTGGCTACTCATTATATTACCTACATGAATGGAGTTATGAGGGAGGTTATGGCATGAATATTAGTAACAGGTGTAAACTAATGTATAGGCCAAATGTGAGTAATTGGTGCACGTCAAATTAACGTATGAAGATGACAAGATGATAGCAAATGATGAGATGAAGTTATGAAGACAAATTGAGACTTGAAGACTGTTAGAACGAAAGCTATCCTAACCGAACCTTAGGAGTAGTTTGAGCAATATTTGTCATGCCCTGCCCCATCTCGCCTTAGTATTGATGCCCTGCCCCATCTCACCTTAGTATTGATGCCCTGCCCCATCTCACCTTAGTATTGATGCCCTGCCCCATCTCACCTTAGTATTGATGCCCTGCCCCATCTCACCTTAGTATTGATGCCCTGCCCCATCTCACCTTAGTATTGATGCCCTGCCCCATCTCACCTTAGTATTGATGCCCTGCCCCATCTCACCTTAGTATTGATGCCCTGCCCCATCTCACCTTAGTATTGATGCCCTGCCCCATCTCACCTTAGTATTGATGCCCTGCCCCATCTCGATGCCTCCGTGAGAGACAGCAACGGTGCCATCGTGCTCGTAGATGGACACTTGGATGCCGTACCGGAACACTGAAGGATAGTTGAGGGCGTACCACAGAGGGACAATAGACATGCCTCTCTTCCTCCACTTGTTTTCCTGGTAATGCAACACAAGGGACCGACATGTTAACAAGAAAGAGGCAGCACATATATGTTTAGCTTAGCATGCGTGTTCATTCCTCCTAAATTTTAAGCCTTCTTCTAATTGTTTTAGAGGGCTATAAGCCTGTTTCAAATTATAAGAATTATAAAACATTCTTAAAGATATTTTTCTGCTGTTTAGGCTGCCACTATATAACATTTTTATCAACGGTCCCACAAAAACGTACTTGGATATAGTGAATAATTAAACTAAGTTCTTTTGGTTAATTTCCCTCATAGAAATTTCCATCTTTCCTTTCTACTTAAAATTATTAGTATACATGATTAATTAAACGGATGCTTTTGAACATGTTCACATAAAAAAGCTTTAAAAGTGTCTTTTTTTTTTACTCAACCACTTATCCTAGTGGGTAGAGTGATCATCTTGCTTCTTGCAGGGTCGGCGTTCGATCCCTCCCTCCCCTTCCCATGGTCCAAGAGATATGTACTCATAATGGGCCAGCTCTTACTTTGCCATAGGTGCTCTTACTTTCTTGAGAAACACATGGAAGATATTTTTATTTTTTAGCAATCAGAAGGTAGATACTTTTTTTGTAGGAACCAGCTGGAAGAAGCTTTGTATCAACAATAATACATTCTTTAAAAATACGTAGACACCACCAAGAACGAAATTACTTGAATAAGCTGTTGTGGTGACAGGGAGACGGGGTGACAGGGAGATAGGGTGACGGGGCGACAGAACCGCCAGAAGATCAATGAACCAAATACATGGCATTAATGTGATTGCTCTGGTGCTTGGACAGGTCGGCGGAGGGTCGACCTGGCTTCTTGTCACGTGATCGTTCGATCCCCGATGGTCCAAACCGCTTGGCCACTTTGTTTTATTTCGGTTCACATCACTGTAAAGGCTGCCACGACTAGTCCCGATAAGCATAGTGTACCTGGTTAAGTTAGGTCAGGTTAGGTTATGTTAGGTAGAGGTTACCTGGTTGAATATCTGGATCTCCTCCTGCCTCTGCTCGTACATAGACTTCTGCATCAACTGTGGCAAGATATCATCCTTGACCACATTTCTCACATGAGGTGGAGTCATAAGTCGAGCCACATCTGGAGCCACCATGTTGACAAGTCGCACTTCAAGTGGGTCCTTCTTCAGATAGCTAGCCACGTGTTCAATGATATTCTCCATGGTCGCAATAGCCTCCACAGTACCTATGGAAAGCAAAATCACATCCTCAATATATCAGTAAATTTGCAATAAATCAGGATTATTGTCGTAATTTTTTTAAAGAATCAGGTAATATAAACAAATTGATTGGATTAATTAAATAAGATATATTCTATGATATACGACTCAAGTCAGAATAAAACAAACATTAATCAATAAAATAACTCAAGAGTTTTAGTTGATGAGTCTTTCCCACTACGGCAAACGCAACTTTCTTATTATTTAAAACTCCCCAAACCTGTAATGGAAGGGAACCACATTCATATAGGAAGTGAGGCATACTTATCCATTTTATAACCCACAACAATATAACACCAGAGAAAACAACATATAAACCCAGGCACTTAATCCTTTAATAACTAGTAACGGATCCCGGTACAATAGTGGTATCGTATTTTTTAAGATTTATGATGAATAATTATCATGAGGTAAAAGGTCTGGGAATGTTAGGCTACGTTGCCAGAGCTGATGGTGTAACAGAGATGTGTCCTGGCAACTGTGGCAGTTACAGCATGACTTGTAAAAAAAATGACTACTACCGTGACACCGTACCCTGTACCGTGTGTCGTCCTGAAGCACAGTTTGTCCGACTCAATAGTTCAGATTTATACTTTCTAATTTCGTTGTACGTCGGTATATATACTATGGTCCTCATATAGTTACTATAAGTACTACCACAACAGGAGGCTGGGCTGCTAAATGTGGTGTCACATGACACCACCGCTATACAAAATGGCAGAATTACCAGACAAACATTTTATTTCTGGCAACACTTGTCTGTCCTGAGTGGCGCATGAGAAGCCAGAGAGCCATAACCTACCCACACGAAACATGCCCACCCATCATGGTCAAGAAGACTGTCCTACCTGGCGTCCTGCACCAGGTGTTGGCGGCCGTGTTGGTGCGGACAATGACGGGGCGAAACAAGACGTTGGGAAGGTAGTAGGTGTTGTGGAGCCGACTGGCTAGGGAGCCCACGGAGGCCTCGTTGCCCACGTGGCCCACGTCGGAGATCATGTCCACCTTCACCGCCTCCAGTCTGCCCGCGTCGTCAAACCCAACCTGCCAGCGCCGCGTAATTACTATATCTTATATACTTTACTCATTTAGAATCTTCAATTAGATGCTTATATATATATATATATATATATATATATATATATATATATATATATATATATATATATATATATATATATATATCCCTCTAATGCGTTATGCGTGGTTTCCTCCGAGGCTATGGGTCCCCCTTCTTCCAGCTAGAGGTGGTACTCCCTATATATATATATATATATATATATATATATATATATATATATATATACATATATATATATATATATATATATATATATATATATATATATATATATATATATATATATATGTCGTACCTAGTAGCCAGAACGCACTTCTCAGCCTACTATTCAAGGCTCGATTTGCCTAATAAGCCAAGTTTTCATGAATTAATTGTTTTTCGGCAACCTAACCTACCTAACCTAACCTAACTTTTTCCGCTACCTAACCTAACCTAACTTTTTCCGCTACCTAACCTAACCTAACTTTTTCCGCTACCTAACCTAACCTAACCTATAAAGATAGGTTAGGTTAGGTTAGGTAGGGTTGGTTAGGTTCGGTCATATATCTACGTTAATTTTAACTCTAATAAAAAAAAATTGACCTCATACATAATGAAATGGGTAGGTTTATCATTTCATAAGAAAAAAATTAGAGAAAATATATTATTTCAGGAAAACTTGGCTTATTAGGCAAATCGGGCCTTGAATAGTAGGCCGAGAAGTGTGTTCTGGCTACTAGGTACGACATATATATATATATATATATATATATATATATATATATATATATATATATATATATATATATATGTCGTACCTAGTAGCCAGAACTCACTTCTATGCCTACTATGCAAGGCCCGATTTGCCTAATAAGCAAAGTTTTCCTGAATTAATATATTTTCTCTAATTTTTTTCTTATGAAATGATAAAGCTACCCATTTCATTACGAATGAGGTGAATTTTTTTTATTGGAGTTAAAATTAACGTAGATATATGATCGAACCTAACCAACCCTACCTAACCTAACCTAACCTATCTCTATAGGTTAGGTTAGGTTAGGTAGCGGAAAAAGTTAGGTTAGGTTAGGTTAGGTAGGTTAGGTAGTCGAAAAACAATTAATTTATGAAAACTTGGCTTATTAGGCAAATCGGGCCTTGCATAGTAGGCATAGAAGTGAGTTCTGGCTACTAGGTTCGACATATATATATATATATATATATATATATATATATATATATATATATATATATATATATATATATATATATATATATAATATAAACTATTGTATTACTATACATTTTTTTAGATAGATTTGAAAATACACCCAAACAAAAATGAAAAATACACGTGAATATAAAAAAAATATAAAATTTACGTGCAAAAAGACAGATGTAACTAGATCGATGCATGAGTGGATGTATACACGTTCAGAGGGTGGCACTCTTGTATTTCCCCGGGCTATCATCCCGGGTTATCATTCCGAGCGGGGCCAGGTGCTGAAGTCAGGAAGGGGGGTGGAGGTTGTTGGGGGGGGGGGGGGCTGTGCGCGCATGAAACACGCGCCATGACACATACAGAATCATTGTAGCCTCATATATTTTTATTTTATGTTTAAAAAAAGGAAGATACAGTTTTGAAGGAAATACATAATTGTTATTTTGTTTTTTAAATTTTTTACAGTAAGCCCATAAATCCGAAAACACAATAAAACCATGTGTGTGAATTTTAAACGTAAAAATAAAACAAAAAGAAGCAAGGGGAGACCTGTATGAAAGAATTACATTAGTCTCTTGCGTCTAGGCTTCATTCTCGCAAATTGATCTATTACTTCAGTATAGTTCACCTTAGAAGTCAACTCTCTTTCAGTGGCGAGGCCCAGACACACTTCATGATGTTACATGACCAAGGACCTTTTTATAGATTCAGTTACTCGGAACCGAAGTTCCATGTAGCACGGGCTATGGTGAACCCGTAATCCAAAGATCACAGTCACTCCAAACATCTACCACCTTTGTACGGACTACACGCTCTTGTGGTGGCTTAATCTTCATCAATCAATCAACTCTTTCAATGATGATCAAAGCTAACCCAGACAATGTATCCGCGTCCGTGTAGTGTACCTTAACCACTGTATGTACTTTTACAAACCACTGTACTTTCTCGCACATAAATAAATAAATAAATAAATAAATACATAGATAAAGAAGTACGACTTTATGGGAAAATGCACTTAAAACAATAAGGAGCAGGGCTTTATTCATTTAAGTGCCAATGAGTTAAAGCGAGTATGGTCACTAAGTAACCTAGCGATAGCCGTTTCTCACCGCCTATTACGATGGTAGGAGAAAGGCCACGAGAATATACTACATTCAACAGCAGGCAGTTTATCACAAAAATGGTTGTCTTCGGAGAAGGGCGTCATATACCAGCCCGTTCTCGCGGGTGTTCCCAACGTCAAAAACTGTTGTACTAAGGTGCATTAACCTAACCAACCAGAGGACCCACTAGACCCGGAAAACGGGACATTTCGCGAGTAACCAAATCTGTAGGCAGATTTCAACCTTTCCGTAATCAAAGCAGTAGCACATGACTATCAATAAATGTTAAGGCGAAGGCGTTTTCTGCGGCTGGAAGAAAATGCGCTCAGATTGGGGACTTGTTTATTTTATAATAGTAAATAATAAATTAATAATAAATAATAAATTAGTAATAAATAATAAATTAGTAATAAATAATAAATTATTATATAATAATAAATAATATAATAATAATAAATAGTATAATGATAAGCAATTATTTTTAATGAATCAAATAGCTAATTAGGGTGAATGATAAATAATTAGTGACTAATGCATAACAAAGTATTAAAGAATAATTATAATGAATAATCATTATAATGATAAAGTATTAAATCAATTACAATTAATAGTTACATCTATAGTTAGTAATTGAAAGTTGCATTATTTGAATTTACACTAATTACAATTCATGGTAATATTTCTTAGCTATCTGCAGGCTTATCACTTTGGGGGTTCCGGAGGAGCACCCCCAAAGATACAGCAAATGCTTAGCTTAGCTCGTTGCGCGCGCAACTTGGGTGGTTAGACTCAGCTCCCAGACACACGTTTTCTTCCCTCAAAAAACCCACCGCTTTTTTTTTTTTGGGGGGGGGGGGGGAAGCAGTGTTCTTTTCATATCAGTCGGAGGGGTATACGCCTTCACTCTGGGGTTCAGGGCCTTATCAAAATTTCAAAGTCGAATCCTCCATGGCGGGCGAGGTGGGAACAATACCAGCGGGAAATGCTGTAAACGTGTACCGAGAGAGAATCCTGCGAACACTTTTTCATTGCAGTAAAAGGAAGGAAAGAAGAAGGCTCACCAGTATGGCACTAGCGGGAATGAAGGTGGTGGACAGTACCGACGGCAATACCGATTGCGACGATCCTGTAGTGACAGAGCGCTGGTTTCAGCATATATGCTTCAAGAAAAAGACGGGTTGAAGGCGAAGCCGAGGAATAGGCTATAGTTTAATTTAGACAGCACAAGGGAGGAGTGCAAATAATATAGAGTACTCCCAGAAAGTATGGGAGAATGTCTTTGGAGCGCCGGCAGTGACCCAGGACGCTGCTTCGATCCCCCTCTCATGCTCCATATCATATGTACATGTGTGTAATGACAAATTTTAACATAACTTTGTCTTTGAGAAAATCCACCTACACTAGAGTGTGTACGGGTAACATGTCAACACCAGAGTGTGTGTACGGGTGTAAGTGTGTACAGAAAAACACACACACTTACATACTTATAGATCGTAGCTTCGCCTTACCTCATACTTAGACATGTATGGCTCTCGCCAGCCCACTAAGGTCATGTGGGTGGCGAGGTCGAGGACGACCCGGACAGGTCGTGTGAGCTTGTGGGCGGCCACGGCGGCGGCCGACACCACCAGCTGCTGCCTGCTGATCTTCCCGCCAAACCCGCCACCGATGCGACGCACCGACACATTGATGCTATAAATGGAATTATCTTAATATTTAACAAATATTTAATTATTACATATATATATATATATATATATATATATATATATATATATATATATATATATATATATATATATATATATATATATATATATTTAGACATATATTGGAGAAACTTGCTACAGTGCCGTAGTGCTTGAATGAAGGTGAATGAAAGGCCCAATATATGTATAAATGTATAAAGAACAAATTTTCGGATGTAACCTACATACTTTCTCAAGGTACTTTATACAATGAACAATGAACATTGTATATAGTACCTCGAGAAAGAATGTATCCGAAAATTTGTTTTTTAATACATTTACACATATATTGGGTCTTTCTTTCACCTGAACATATATTATTAAATTTATGTTAAAACTAGACCCATAAAGTAAAGTGGCCTGTTCTAGGTCACTGACAACACAAGTGTGACCCGCCGGGAAGGGTTCCGCTGCCTACCAGTATAGACTGAGCTTATGTGCTCAGTTTCCACAGAGGAAGTGACCATTGCATGAGAGTATAAATAGCTATTATTTCCGCTAAATATTTCCTTGGTGCCTAGGGATGATTTCTAGCTTAGGTACACGAGTCTGATATAGGGAGATGTTTCCAATATGGCCGCCAGGCCCACTTCGTCTAGTATCAGAGAATGTTCTGTAACTCGAGAAAAACTGTTTCTGCCTAAAAATTACGGAGAACCTCAATTGTTCAGAATTGTTCATGATCTCTGACAAAGCTTGGGGGAGGGGTGGCACTTGAGGCACAGTGAAATTCACGAAATCATATTAAGCTTTACCATAGCTGGATGTCCAGTTGAAAGAGAGCCCCATTACCTAATGCCCCATAGCGCTGATATTCCCGTTGGTTACACAGATAGGATTACAGTGAACCTCTGGAAGAACGGCAAGCAGTTGGTGTGGGACTATACGTGCGTATCAATGAGGAATGACCTGGAAAAGGTTGGGAATCTTTGATCATTCATTTATTTTTCTTGTAATATCTGTCTGAATACATAATAGCTCTTGGACCCCACTTTTCTAACCATCAGTTGCTTAATGCACTGACTCCCGACTTACATATCTACTACATATTTCTCTCTTACACTCACATCCCCAGAATACAACCCTTAGCAGCTGTTTAACTCTCGGGTACTTATTTACTGCTAGGTAATCTGAGGCATCAGGTGAAAGTGAAACTACCCATTTGTTTCTGCCTCGACCAAGAATCGAACTCGGGCCCCTAGTACTACGACCCCAGAGCACTATCCACTGGGCTGTGAGGACCTGTGTAATGGTGTGTGTGTGAACTTTAACCCCAATAATAAAGATCCAGTAATAAGCCCATAAGCCTCCAGAGTGCATCACCTGTGGGCTGGAACATTGAGCACCTGAGCCACTGTGGCCTGAGTCTCGGTGGGCCACTGGGACGTGCTCAGCACATCGTAGCCGTCTTCTGTGGGGGTCACCCGTCCAGCCAGAGCTTCCAGGGTGAAGTGGAACTGAGATCCTTGTTGTAGCTCCCCAATCACTTTGTGCTTAGCGGCATCTAAAGCATCTGATAAGATTATACCATAAGGATAACAAATTTACATACACACCTGAGGACAGCACCCCTATTATATGCTGCCCCAGCCACCTATATTTATTTATTTATTTGTTTATATATACATGAGTTCTTACATTCGCGTAAAGCCACTAGCACGCAGAGCGTTTCGGGCAGGTCCTTAATCCTAATTTTTCCCTGGAGTACGACACGTCAAATCGTATAACAACCAGGTACCCATTCACTGCTGGGTGAACAGAGGCTACAGTTAAGAACTGGCTCCCAGTCAATCCTCCCCGACCAGGATACGAATCCAGGCCAAAGCGCTTGCGAAGCTCCGTAGTGCTTCATCACTGCGCCACGGGGACTGCTAAACATAAGAGATGGGTCGGCTGCAGTGTGCGTATTGGCCAGTACCACGCTTGACTTCACCTCGTTCTCCCAGTTTTATATTCTATTGCTCCAGCTAAACTGTACTCACTTCTAATCTGCCTTTGAATATATATCTAAAAATTAGAATTAAATTAGATTAAATTAAATTAATATAAATTGTAATTAAATTAAATTAGCCTGTTTATTAAAAGTTGGAGGCCAGGAACAGTCTCTAAATGTCTTTATATATTCATTATTTGTCGAGAACAGGTCTTTTATTTCAATTATAATCTATCTCAAAATGTATTTTGGTAAACATTTTGTCATGACTTTATGAAATTGACAGTAGGAATATTGACCTGTTCAGGATCATACAGTCTCTCCGTATCTAATTAAACGTTCATTACAAAAATAGTGCAGGTACTAACCTTCGGGACTCCCTAGAATATAGGGCTCATTCTTGCCGGTAATATCATTCATTACTGTTTCATTTCGTCCTTGCTCTAATGCTTCTTCTATGGTGAGAATAGGCTTCTTAATGTCCTCATATTCCAGCTTGACCAGTGTGGCAGCTCGCACGGCTGTGTCCCGGTCCTCAGCCACCACCAGACCCACCGCCTGGCCAGCGTATTTCACACGATTCTTTACAAACACCTAAACAAATGCAATATATATAAGTGCCGTTCAATGAGTTCTAAGCATAGAGAATCTAAATCAGGAATGTCATATGGCCCGCGGGCCGCATACGGCCCTTTGCAGCATGTCTACGGCCCGCACAAAGGATACTGTAATTTGGTCATTTAATGGCCAAAATTGTAGTTTTTATAATTTAAACTATCACCTTTTAATAAATTTCAAAATCACAAAAGAAACACGAATGCAGCTGTGAGACAAGCAAGTTAAGACTTCTAAAACAGTCTCCACGTTAACTGTTAAGCTGGCCTAAATTGTGTGAACCTGGCCTAAATCTACCTATGTGAGTGAATAGTTATTTTCCTTTGGGAAATCAACAAAAATTTATCAGAGAACAAGGCTGACTAATCAACACTTGCCATTTCTGATCAAAAAGGAAACTACACAGACATTTCAGCCAGACATAAAACAAATTGTCACTAAAAAGTGGTGTCAAGCCTCAGGGAAAAACACTAAAAAAAGATTGATTAGTCGTAAATAAATGTTAATTTTGAACTGTTGTAATTTTTGTACAATGTATTTGTTACTGTTGCATAGAAGTCAATGTTGCCGTTTAAAATTTATTTTTTCTTTTTCTTTTGTTAAAATACTTCATTACTTTACATTGATGAACGTGATCAGTCACTAAGCCATTTGTATGCACAGTGTATGTTTCTAAGTTTAAGTAATAAAAATATTCTGCAATAATTTGTATTAAATAACTCCAATTAGTTATGGTGTGTGGCCCTCATGTTGTGGTGTGTGGCCCTCATGACAACACAAACGTGGCCCATATGGCCCTCGGGGTGGACCCTCAGTTTGACCTACCTGATCTAAATTATTATATTTATTATTATATTTAGATCACTTATTAAATACGATAGAAAAATATTTAGGATAAGATTGTTTACATCCAGTGCTACTGTTTAAATGGTGGTCATACCACAGTGCCTCTACAAGTACCAAATAAGTACAAGTACATTGTTGGTTGGCCTCTACAAGTACCAAACTAACACTTGTCGAGTTTCCGGAAAATCAATTTTGAAACCACTAATAAATATAAATATGAGAAGACAGACACTGGGGCATGACCCATGTAATTGACACAGACTCTGACACTACAACTTAATTAACGATGACATCATTTTTTGAGAAATTCATTAAAAATACAATTCTATTTTTTATACAGATGTTTGATGATGTAAACTGTAAAAATTATATGGATATACAAGAACATGAAAATCTAAACAATGAGGAAAATACAAATTTTAAGATTCCGGAAATGCATAATTTACGTTATACATAATTTATAAAACATAGTTGTTCATTTGGTGTGTGACTCACGGGGTCGGGCCGTCCGCCTGCGTTAACTACGAAATTGTTGCGTCCAGGGATGTCGGCCGCCCCGACGTAGCCTACAACTCCTGCCACTTTCTGGGGGAGTAGAAAATTTTTGAGGCCCCCGAAAGTGATCCTAAAAACCAACTTAAATATACATGAAATGGTTTTTTGTTAGTAGGTTCGTACAATTTATGTCACTCTCTAATATAGGCGAAAGTTTTTTTCGGAAAGAAAAATTTGATGTGCTAGAGTTATGTAAAATAAAGATAAAACAAATTATGACGAAGAGTGGAATAAAACCAATATTATAAGGACAGGTGTGAAATAACATGAAAGAAGGAAGGTTTACGCTAGTTAATGAACAAAAAGAGGAAAAGGACATTAAATAACTGCTTTCATTATACTTCCAGTGATTGTGCTTGAATTTCAAGTTTTGTAAGAGATGAGGCTGCGACTGGTGGTGTATATATACTATGTGATGACGAAAGTGCAGCCCGTTCTCAGGGTAAAGTGATTATATCGAATAGCCACCCTTCCTGGTTCAACACCTGGATATTTACCTACATATTTGTGATGACTTAATAAGGTTCCCAAAATATTATAATTGTAAGCTGGTAAATGAATCTTTGTTTTAAACAGAATATTCTTAAATTATAACTATTGTATTATAAATCAAGGGTTTAAAAAAGAAAGTGTATTAAGTATAATCTTAATAAGTATATTAAGCAAAACTTAAGCTTATTTTCAAATTATAGGGGATACTCAAATAGTTTTGAAGTACTATATATAGAGAGAGTGATCCAAGTACACAGAGGAACCCCGTCGCTCCCCTTGTCTATGTGCCATCTCCTCCCACCCCTTGGCAGTAGGAATCGAACTATTGACACTACATGCAATATACATACTCATTTGTTAATATGAAACTTGAGTTTATGTTCCTGTTTTTTAGTAACAAAATTCTGCAGATAATACTTATGCTTATCACCAGTATACACAAATTCTACTTACCAAGGCTTCAGAAGTATCGATGGACTTAACTTTGGCATTAGCAACAGTTGACTGAACAAATGCGCCATGAAGTTCATTATGAAGAAGAGGCACATCATCAAGGTACACAGCCTCACCTGCAAGTTAACTAAAGTTAAGGTTAACTAAAGAGTTATCATCGCTACTCTACTCATTCATTACTTTCAGCCTTACTACAGGAATTACAGCCTCTTCTCAACATAGTAAAATATGACTTTTATGCTAGGGAAAGCAGGAAGGAATAGGATAAAAAGATTCACACATAAACTGTTTGATATAGTCATACAAAGGGTGATAACAACAATAACTCACCTGGGTTACAGAATGGTTTACATTGATTCTCAATTATACATACTTAATAAATTATAGGGAATAACATATTACAAATTAAAGGGTGTTAAGGGAAGTAAATGTTCAGGGAACTTTTTTAGAAAATTGCTTAGTAGAAAAGTATATCATGTCATCACTATATATTTAAAAATTTCATATCAGGTACGCAAATTAGCTGTGAAATGGAGTAATGTCCTCTCTGAAAATTTCTCCCTAAAAAAAAAGGTTAAACAAAATTCTGCTCTTAGTACAATTCTGTTTTCCATCTATCTTAATCTATTGTTAAGATTTATGAGCCAGTCACCTGTCACGCAGGCAGTACTAAGGCCAATGTTTTCTGTTATGCTGATGATCTACTTCCACTTGCAACGACCTAAGTAGGAATGGAAAATTTGATAGAAATGTGAAAGATATAGAATACAACATAACGTCTAAACCCGCAAAGTGTGCTCTGGTTGCTTGTAACTCACAGGACTCGTTTTATCGTGATCCTAATCTAAAATCACTAGGCAGAGATACTCCAGTAACTGAAAAACATCTGGGGCATTTTATACCTTCGAAGAGCCTGCTTGTCAATTTTTCTAATGCACTTAAAGACTAAAGGTCAGAACAAATGTCATCATTAGCGAATTTGGTCACCTTGATACCTGGTCGAAAGTAAAGTTAGTTAACAGTCAGTGTTTAAGCTTGTATGGATGTGAACTATGGGATATACAAAATGCTGATCTTGGTAAGCTTAAATGTGGATGGAGGAGATGTTCCAGACGTATCTTGGATGCCCATCCTCGCACTCATTGCACTCTCCTCCCTGGCCTGATGGCCACACCCACTCTTGGGGAAATAAGTCACAAACGAATGATAAAATGTTGTCTGAAAGGAATTGCTCATCCAGTGAACTCAATCAACTCTTATTTTCATGCATCCACTTATCACTGGCCACTCCTACTTCTCCCGAAATATACACTTAATTGTTAGGAAATACAATTTAAGAATGAGTTGTGTTATCCTGTCTTGTAGAACCTATTCAAAATAGGGTCTACAAGACAGGACAACACAACTCATCAACAGGGAAAGCAAAGACTCCCAGCTGGATATATGGAATTATTAAGGAACTAATGTCAGAAAGATTGATTACTGGCAGGCATTTTGAGTCCAACTGAAGTCAGATCTTCCGTCTGTCAGGATAAGATGAAATGAGGAGAGGGAGATAGGGGAGGGTGGTGAGGGAGAAGAGAGGGATGAGTGAAATATGTTGAGTTGTATGCAGAGGGATATTCATACACATCAGTCAAGGTGACATTATATATAATAAGTATGATGAACTTAGGTGAGTACTGGTAATGGCTTCAAACAGCCTTCACTTACCCATGCCACCTCTAGGGTGGCTTAATCTGTATCAATCATTCAATCAACTTTGATGAGGTGTTAGTAAGCTCTTAACTACTTAACAGCGAAGAAGTCAAAACTTTACCTGATATTTGTGTTGCAGATTCAACTTTAGGAATGCCTTTGCCAACTGGCCACGTGTCTTCATTCAAGTCAAAGTCCTGCTGGCTGGATGAGAGAGGTCGCTCCAGGACAGTGGCGGCACTGCGCACGTCAACACTCACTTTCTCTCCCAGGAACCCAACTACAGCCTAATCATACAGATAAATAACAATGTAATAAAGTTTTCAGCGTTTTGAAAAACAAAACATATAATATATTATATTTGAGTTGCAGCCATCATGGCAAATCTATCAGCTACAGTTTAAGATGATGAAAGTTGTATGCTACTCCCTCCAAATTAGGATCAATCTTCTTTTCAAAAGTACAGAACAAGTTTTAATCTGCTTCAAAATAGTTTGACAATCTACTTTAATAAGAATATATCCACCAACTTCACTTACTTCTGTGGTACTTATTATGCTTAGCAAGTGTCACTGCATACATACTGTCGAATGCAGCATAATGCTATACAGAATGAAATGTTTATCGCATCAATATCTCAACAGGCTGTATTTGTTTGGTTTCATGCAAGGACTGTGAGTTCACGTATATTGGTCAAACAGGAAAAAATTGACCAAATTGTGTTTGACAATACAAGTGTGCAATTAGCCTTAGGCAAGAGTACAATGCAATATACCTTTATGTTAGCCTAGTTAATCATGCCATTGACTGGAACTCTCCGAAAAGTTTGACCTGCCCGAAACGTTGCACGTACTAGTGGCTTTACAAGAATGTAAATATCATGCCATGTATCCTCACAAACCCAATGTACCTTCTTGTATATAAATAAATAAATAAATAAATAAATAAATAAATAAATAAATAAATAAATAAATAAATAAATAAATAAATAAATAAATAAATAAACAAACAATGTGTTATCAGCCCATCCTCCTGAGGTTTCAAAGCGTCAAGAAAACGGTCAATTTTAAGTGTCTTCTACTAACCTACAAGACTAATCCAGGAACTCAAAACAGAAGACGAGACGGTATGTCACTTTTGCGAGCAGCTTCCATTTTCTAGTATGACAATTTTTGGCCTTAGTAATGTATACGAGCTTAAAGCGATGTTCTTTGTAGGCAGACTGGTTCTATGTATGGCAGAGGGTTTGTTGAAAGATATTTGATTGAGTCTGCCGCATTAGTCATGGCCCCAATGCTCTCAATATTAGCCAACGTTTGGTTAATGTGACTGAAATAACTATATTTTAATTCTCGTGAAACTCACGTTGATAGTAACAAAATTATAAGAGTGAACTAAGACGGAGGACAAGAACGAAACTCGGTAACTATTTTCGCATCTGAAATAACTATGTCTTAAATTTCAGGAAAATTGAGTTCATAGTAGTGAAACTACAAGAGACAACTAAGGCGGAGAATCGGAGCAAAATTCAGTAATTATTTCATTTGTTCTTAATGTGACTGAAATAACAATATTTTAAATATCGTGAAAATCACGTTGATAGTAACAAAATTAAGAGTGAACTAAGGCGGAGGACAAGAACTAAAACTCGGTAACTAACGAATTTGTTCTTCATGTGTCAGAAATAACTATATTTTAAATCTCGTGAAAATTGGGCCAAAAGTAGCGAAACTACGAGAGCAAACTAAGGCGGAGGACAGGAGCTAAAACTCGGTAACTATTTTCTTTTCTTAATGCGTCAGAAATATGTCTGTTATAAATCTCGGGGAAATTTAACTATTAATAACGAACTTACATGAGCAACCTACGGCGGAGGACAGGAGCTGAAACGCAGTAACTAACTTTATCTCGTTTTCTTCGTTTGCAATACAGCGGTTTTAAATTTTAAGAAAATCTGAATAATAGTCACAGAACTACACCTATAAACTTTAAGAGGCGGGGCCAAGAACTAACGTCTGACATTATTAATTACTTCAAATACTGCTAATTAACATATTCTCTGAAAATGGATAACCTCAGACTTTAATTTTACTCGTAAACAGGTACAGTTTAACGACGATATTTTCTCCATAACAATTCCTTAAGACTACAGCAAGGAATTTTCGCCATAAGAATTCCTTAAGACTGCAGCGAGTACTTTCTCTATAACTATAATCTATACACCTACCCTGACGCAAAATCCACCATAAAACAGAGTACTGCATAGTTTAAACTTTTTCCAAAACAAAATGTTTAAGCTATGCAGTCTATCCACCTACTCCCAAGTACCTATTTACTGATAGGTGAACAGGACATCAGGTGAAAGAAACTCTGCCCAGTTGCAACTATGTTTACCATGGAGAGAAAGACAGTCCTAAGAAAAATGCATTATACAAAATAAGAGTTCCATTAGAAAGAGAACTTTGTTGTCCATGGGCAACAAAGTTCAGCATTATATACAAGCAAGCAAACAAGACCGAACACCACCCCGGGTATTATCGGGTACTAAGCTTTACATAACATGTAAACATTAAGTGTAAAGCTTGTCCCAGTCAGGGCACCGACAACCAGCATATTGAGACACATTCTCAAGCTTGTTCCACTTGTGTAGGCTTATGAGTAACAAAATAGTAGATTCTTTTATAATTACCAAAATAATTATGATTATAACAAAAACTTCCCCACATGATTTTTTATTATTAACAAGCTTAGGTAGACACATCAATGTGCTGCTACCCTATTCTGTATAAAAGATTACAGAGTGTAGATGAAAATCTAGCTATAGGTGCATCTAATATCCCCATCTCACAGGATGGTTAGTCATACGAGATGAACTTATAGTTAGTTTTATAGATATTAGATGAACTTACAGCTAGATTTTGATCTACACTCTGTAATCTTTCATATAGAAAAGGGTAGCATCACATTGCTGTATATACCAAAGCTTGTTAATAAAAATAAATTCTGTGGGGAAATTTTTGTCACAATCAAAATTATTTTGGTATAATTTGTTGCTTTAAATAATAAAAATAAAAGAATTTACTTCTTTTTTCACTAATAATAGCCTATTCAAATAGAACAAGCATGGGAATGTGCCTTAATATGCTAGTTGTCAATGCACTGATGACTAATTAACGTACCTTGTAAAACAAGCTTTGTGCAAGGGATTTGCGATACTGCGGAGACGCATCTTGGGGTTTAGCGTCAGGAGTCATCTCATTGCCTAGCATCTTCGCAGCTTCCACAACTGTCACTACGTCTGTCAGCTGCTTGTCGACCAAGTAAGATTCTGTCTGCTCGGCGTGGATCTGTTGATCTTCACATTATTACTCTCATTTTGTGGCGCAAGAATTATGATACATTCGCCGACCAAAAAGAGGATGAGCCGCCTCTCTTAATTAAGCTAATATGCCCAACTAGTTGGAAAGGTAGTTTAAAAGTACTGTATAAAAAAGGCTCTATAGATATATTCAATTTAAACTTCATACTCATAATTTGTAAGACATGAAAACATTAGCCTATTAAATTAGAGGAACCATATTATAGAATAGGGGAAAGAAAAAATACGTGTGAACTGTCTTATGGGCAGTTATATAATTTATGGAAGGCACACAAAATGGAGAATGTTAATAAATAATAAGTAAAGCACGTAAGAAGCGCTGAAGAAAAATATGCATTCCATCCAGCAAAAGACGTACTTGATGTAAAAAAGAGATTATATGAAGCACAAGACAATAACAAATAACGTGAGCAATAGAGAATTATGTTTAAACAACAAATTTAAAACAAACCACAAAGAAAAGAGCGGTTCTTGGAGACCGCGCCGTGCGCACGTCACATGTTCAGGCAGCTGTGGCGTCTCCACAAGAGGTGGGGACTGGTGGAGATAGACTCAAGTGTCGTTAAACACTATCGAGGCGGGAGTGATGGTGGAACCGCTCTCATGATCTTCAAGGCATAGATGCATATTGTTTCTTTACTATGCAGAAGACGGGTCTGTGCATCTAATAAATTAACTATGTGCCCCTGGCCAGGTGGGACGCCTGCCAAAACAAGAGTTGTAAGGAGACTATTTCTGTGTCTACTAAAGAACTTGCATAATTTTCATTACATTGTCACTGTTCCCCAAAACATCTAATGAATGAAGACAGAAACCAAAGATCAGCTAACTTTGTTGACCAGACATACTCAAGTCGATTGTCACAATCGACTTGAGAATGGTCCAGGACGGACCGAAACGTCGTCGTCCCTTCACCTTCCAGTGTGTGGTCTGGTCAACATATTTTAGCCACGTTATTGTGACTCATCGCCTGCATCAGCTAACTTTTTCTCCATGAAAAATACTATACAATTTTACTGCACATTTAAGCTTAGAGTTACTAAGAGTTAGGTACTGTACTTTGGCTGTGGTAGGCCTAGTACGGTAGAATTTTCCTCAGAGTCCCCGACGATATAATCTATATAAATAAAAGTGGAAATGTTCGTTTGCTCAAAATCGCTAATCTCCAAAAGTTCTTCACCGATTGCTTTGAAATTTTCACACAACGTTCCATTCGCATCCGGCCAGGTTTTTACATACATACTATATAGATGTCACGTCTGTGACGGTAAAAAAAACATGCTTTTTCTGAAAAACTGTATTTTTCATGCGAGGAAAATCTTCAAAACCTCTTTACCGATTGCTTTGAAATTTTGACACAACGTTGCATTCGAATAGGCGCGTCTTTTTATATACCTACTATATAGATGCCACCCCTGTGACAGGTAAAAACATGCGTTTTAGAAAAACAGCGCCAGTCTGTTGCACATAATAGCAACATGCATGCTATACTAAATATGTCACAAATTCCATTTCAATGTTTCCGATTGCATTGATAAATTTTATTTTCATAGGTTTCGATTTATTATATTTTTTTATTGAATTATTTTGTGACACTGTGCTGGAATTGAGCTGTGTTGTTTACCATACCGTTCATTTTGTAAGTACAAGTATAGATGCCACACCTGTGACAGGTAAAACTATGCTTTTCTTGAAAAACAGCACCATCTGTTGCATGTTAGAGCAACTCACAAGCTATACTAAATATGTTACAATTCCATTTCAATGTTTCTGATTGCATTGATAAATTGAATTTTCATAGATTTTGATTGATTTTCATTTTGATTTAAATATTTTGTGTGAATTACATTGGAATTGAGCTGTGTTGTTTACCATACCGTTCACTTCATGAGTATAGTTTATTTTTTTATTTTTTCTTATTTTTATTTAATTTTTTAACTGTTTTTCGTATATTTCAGTAATGGGAACATCAGATCACTTGATGTTCTCAATTTTCTGATGGGAACATTAGACCATTTGGGAAGGCATCGGAGGAAGGAGTGGGGATGACGAGGGGATGGAAGTGAGAGATGGTGGGGAGGACGAGGGGACAAGGGAGGGGGTAATGGTGGGGAAGGATGAGGGGGACAGGGGATTTTCGGATGGTGGGGGACGCAACCCGTTCTCGCACTTTCTTATAGTCAATATTGGCTTATTAAATACGTGCATATGTGACATACTAGTTTATTGTGAATATTTTAGTTTACCTTGAAAAGCTTCATAGAAAACACCGACCTTACCTAACCTTCTTAGTATGTTAAGATAAGCATCTTATTGCTTCGTAATTACAATTATTACTTAACCTATACCTATAATTGGTTAAGTAATAATTGTAATTATGAAGCAATGAGATGCTTATCTTAACATACTAAGAAGGTTAGGTAAGGTCGGTGTTTTCTATGACGCTTTTCAAGGTAAACTAAAATATTCACAATAAATTAGTATGTCACATACGCACGTATTTAATAAGTCAATATTGACTATAAGAAAGTGCGAGAACGGGTTGGGGGACGAGGGGATGGGGGAAAGGAAAATGGTGGGGAGGACAAAGGGACAGGGGAGTGGTGCATGGCGGGAAGGAAGAGGGGATGGTGGAGTGGGGAATGGTTGGGACGCCGAGGAGACGGGTGAGAGGGGAATAGTGGGGGAGGACTGGGGGGAAAGGGAAGGTTGCTGTGGCTCAACATAGCCACAGCAACGCGTGGCCGGGTATTACTAGTAACAAATATTTAGAATGCTAAAAATATAATATATGAAGTTATGATGAAACAACAAACAATTACGATAAAATTACGTAAAAGGATGCCATAATGTGTATGGAGGGCTGAAAATGGGGCATGGAAGACGCCTCTATCGCTTCCTGGCGTCCCACTAAACTCCTCAGGGATGATCTATATATACTACCTCTCAAGGTCAAACATCCCGAGCGTGTTGATGGCCACGTATGTCACCTTCTATGACTGGTAATGAAAAAAATTACTGGCTCCACAACCTACCTTTATGAGCGTACTTCACGCAATTTATTCCAGTCTCTTGCATGTCTGACTGGTTTGAATCCTGTTGTCTCTTTTGATATTTTCTTTCCTAAAACCGCTTCTACAACTGTAGAGTATCATTCACCATCAACAGTTACTGCAGAAATGCATATACTTTCCAGATACATTAACATGACCAAACAGGATATGCTCACACGAAAGTAGGACAGATCCGACCCCGGCCACATTACGTTAAATTCCAGTACCACGGCATTAACTTACATATTTAGGCTGCACACTCTGGCGAAATATTTTAACCTTTCGACCTCCAATAGATTTTCATTGATAACGGTGTGAAGCTCCTTCTCAAACTGATCCATTCAGTGGGAATTAATATATAATTATGCAACCAACACAGTGGTATAAGGGGTCATTGCGGTGTAAACCGAGACGCAAACCACACTGTCATTATTTTCTTTCAAATTAGTAGTGCCCTTTTCGAGTTCACTAACAATGATTTCTTAAATAAACAGTTCGCTTCATAGTTAAGAAGCAATTTAGTGCATAATAGCTAAGGATAAAATTTTATATAGTCCTCATAGCTAATGATTTACAAGTATAATGCTTCTATACTTGTATTATCTGTTCACTAACTATATCTTTCAACTTACAAAATCTGCATTTATTCCAGCAAACAGCAGACTAGGCTTCTCTTTTATTCTGAAATCATCTGTGGGATCCAGCTTCATCTTGAAGCAAGCACTGACATAGGCGTGGGAATTGACTGCTCGGTTAGATATCTTGAACGTGCGAATCTGAAATAAAAAGTCAGAATTTCAGTTTAACTCTAATTTTGTTTCATAATTTCACTCACAGTCGCTTCCTCGCTAGGCACTTGGCATGCTTGGTAATAGATATAGATATAATGAGTTGGGCCTCACGAAAGTTATCGATGAGCGACTAATCCTTCCCAGACAACCAACACAGCCAAGACTAACCTGTTCGTCTTGAGCCATGGGATGCAGCGTCATGGAGAGAATGATACTGCTTGACATGTCGGTCTGAAGGAACTGCTCCAGGTTGACTTGTGTTGTCGTCGAGCTGTCTGCCTGACACAGAGTCAGCTGTGCGTCTGCCACCAGCAACGTCAGGAAGATGTCAGATGGAAACTCTCGATGCTTGTGCTTTAGCATTAAATTACCTGCCCAACTTCCAATCTGAAATCAAAATAATGTGTGTTTTTGGGGTTTATTTTTTGCTTTTGTCTTGTGGTTTAAGTTAAAGTTTACAGTTACATACGAAACATGAAAAAGCTACTCCTTAAATTATGCTTTATTCATATTAAAAATAATTATATAATATATATATTAATATATATATTGAATTGAATATGAATGCACATTGTGTTGATTATTTTCTTGTTTAGGGCTTCTATCCCTCTGACTAGTGCTCTAGCATCTTGGTTTAATTGGAACACTATGGGGAGAGTGTACCTACGTTTCTGACTGCCACGTTAGCCACCAGTTTCCAGTGAGAGCGGAGGACAGTCAGGTACTGGTAGCCTTGGTGGCTACTGGCAACACGCTCAAATACTTCCATCACTCTGTTGAGGCTGACATTGGCTCCCATGGTGAGAGGCGGCTCAGTGGTAACGCTGTACAGTTCCTTCACGTTATTAGTGCTAATGTAAGTGGTGTAGGGCCCGTCCTCTTTGTACACTCCTGTAACACAACGACTCTCGGTTAGAACAACGCGTTATGACTGGTTTACAAGTATCTTTCTTCAGCAATATTTACATTTCTAGTGTGTACACTCCAATTACTTTTCCCTTCTACAGATTACAACTTTTTCACATTATGTAAATTGTATTTTATTCCACGAATTATTGCCGAATTCTTTATTAAAGGTTTTGACTTCTGTAATGTTTCTGACGAATTTAACAATTAATTTTACGAACAAAAAATACAGAAATTAAATCTTTAATTGCGGAATTAGCTTTGGCTCAATCTCGCAAGTGTCGCTTTTGGCCGTTTGCCCGTATGGGCGAAAGTGGACGTAATTTGAAAATGAAAAAAATGAAAATAAATTTGGGATTTTTTTTCAACATCAGTTAGTTAAGGGTCCTCTGGTAGGTTAGGTGGGCAGGAAATTCTCATAAAGTTTCAAAACGTTATAACAAACGTTAATTGAAATTTTCTCTCCTAACCTTTCCGTGTACGCCGGGCGACTCAAACAGAAAACGGGACAGTACGTCACTTTCGTGAGCCGATTTCACTTCAAATTAAGTCCATTTTTGGCCAAAGTGCGCATACGAGCCAAAAAGCGACGTTACTTTCTAAGAGGACGGGTTGGGGTACATGACTTTGTCCTCAAAGGCCGAGTTTACTGAGCAGGTCAAGTTTGTCAGCGGAGAGGAAAAGGGCTGCAACCTGTCCTCTTAAAAAGAACGTCGCTTCTCGCTCGTATACGTTGCACAAGGCCAAAAATTGTCGTACTAGAAAATGGAAGTGGCTCGCGAGTGACGTACTGTCCCGTTTTCTGTTTTGGGTCCTCTGGTAGGTTAGGAGAGGACACATTAAATTGCCCATTTTCTTGACGTTGGGAAACCTTTGGAGGACAAGCTAGGAGATGAGCAGTTTGTTCACTCCTAATTGTGACTCTATTGGTTGAGATTCAGCTCTTTGATCTCGCCTCTCATCCTTCAGCCAACTAATATGTTGTTTCCCAAGCCATTTGAATTCTCTCATATACCTAAGGCTGTGCGTGTGGAGTCTTTCCAGGCCATTTAGTAACGTCAAATAATATATGTATTAATTTTTTTTAAATAATACACATTATACACAGAAATCACAATAACGTGATATATCAAATGACCAAATCCACAAGGGATTTGTGAATCACTTGTGGATTTGTTCATATGGTATATCACGTTATTGTGATTTCTGTGTATATTGAAGTACACAAGCTTCTCAAAGATTTTCTGGTGAGAGTTCTACCCCTGAAGTCAAAGGTAGAACTATTTGGTTGACAGAGCGCGAGTGCATGGGGGACTTGTGTGTAACCCCGGTTAGGCTTCAGAGGAAGCCTCGAGATCCTCGTGGGAACAGTAGCACTGCAGGTTACAATTCTTTTACCATGTCGTGGTACAGTTGACTAGAGCACGTCTGGGAACATGCAGCTCATAGGTTCGAACCCTCATCAAGGCCCTTGTGGATTTGTTCATAATACACATTCAGATGCACATGTTCAGAATAAAAGAGAGAAAATGAAAAGGAGTTTTTGCTCCTTTTTCTTCTGTGTGGTACACAGACTACTGGGTGTGGTACACAGACTACTGAGTGTGGTACACAGACTACTGAGTGTGGTACACAGACTACTGAGTGTGGTACACAGAACACTGGGTGTGGTACACAGAACACTGGGTGTGGTACACAGAACACTGGGTGTGGTACACAGACTACTGAGTGTGGTACACAGAACACTGGGTGTGGTACACAGACTACTGAGTGTGGTACACAGACTACTGAGTGTGGCACACAGACTACTGAGTGTGGTACACAGACTACTGAGTGTGGTACACAGACTACTGAGTGTGGTACACAGACTACTGAGTGTGGTACACAGACTACTGAGTGTGGTACACAGACTACTGAGTGTGGCACACAGACTACTGAGTGTGGTACACAGAACACTGGGTGTAGTACACAGAACACTGGGTGTGGTACACAGACCACTGGGTGTGGTACACAGACCACTGAGTGTGGTACACAGAACACTGGGTGTGGCACACAGACTACTGAGTGTGGTACACAGACTACTGAGTGTGGTACACAGAACACTGGGTGTGGTACACAGAACACTGAGTGTGGTACACAGAACACTGGGTGTGGTACACAGAACACTGAGTGTGGTACACAGACCACTGGGTGTGGCACACAGACTACTGAGTGTGGTACACAGACTACTGAGTGTGGCACACAGAACACTGAGTGTGGTACACAGACTACTGAGTGTGGCACACAGAACACTGGGTGTGGTACACAGACTACTGAGTGTGGTACACAGACCACTGGGTGTGGTACACAGAACACTGGGTGTGGTACACAGAACACTGGGTGTGGCACACAGAACACTGGGTGTGGTACACAGACTACTGAGTGTGGCACACAGAACACTGGGTGTGGTACACAGAACACTGGGTGTGGTACACAGAACACTGGGTGTGGTACACAGAACACTGGGTGTGGTACACAGAACACTGGGTGTGGCACACAGAACACTGAGTGTGGTACACAGAACATTGAGTGTGGTACACAGAACATTGAGTGTGGTACACAGAACATTGAGTGTGGTACACAGAACATTGAGTGTGGTACACAGAACATTGAGTGTGGTACACAGAATACACAGCGAAGTTCTCGTAAACCCAAACGCTGCACAGATAGCGCTGGTGAGGTGCACAGAACACAGAGCGTCGTCCAAGGAACCAAAGGCGTGGTGAACATTGTGTAGCACAGTTGGCTTCATTCCCAACTCGCAATCGAGGGATCCCAGGTTAGATTCCCGGGAGGGACAGACATGTTAGCCACGTTACCTTTCACCTAATTCACCTATTCATCTAGCAGTAAATTGGTACCTGGGAGTTAGGCATTGCATCCTACGGAAGGTAAGTAGTTCCACCTTAGGGGGGGAGGGGAACCTCAATGCAAACCTGAAATACATATATATATATATATACAGGCTGCCTGTCCCCGACGACGGGAATTATATCATACACGTTACTTAATGTTATAGATAATACAAATACCTTGTCCAGTGTTGCCAACCACGATGCACACCTTCTCAGTCTGGTCCAGGTTTTTCAGAATGTTCTTTATTCCCTGGAAAGTAAATTATATCTAAATAAACTGAATTGGGAATAGAAAACAGCTGAATTATAATTATTGCAATGTTCAGCTTACTAATTACCTTTAATAATTATGCCGTGTTCTGGGAACTAATGCCTTGATTTGTTCCATATTCAATAACCTTCGAATGTTAATATTTTGTTTTGTTTTTAAATATTTGAGACGCTCCCTACGATTATGTACTGCTTAATCGTAGGTCGAGGTGAACACCCACTTATAAATGTCTATGTTCTTGCAGGTAAACTTGGTACACCTGTGTCCTTAGTGTCAAGTGTATATCTTTGAAGATGTCACATTGTTGACATGTTACTGAATATGATAGAAAGGGTTAGATTGATCATTCTAACACGATTTTTTATATTACTTGCCTTAAGAAGGAAGTTAACAAAATTACTCCTTAAAGTTAACTTTTCAGTTTTATATTGCCCGGTGTTAAAAAACGGGATTCGTTCATCCAGTCAACATCTTCAGTCAGAAGGGAACTGGATGTCAATTAGCATGATCATCGGAATGTGGAGCCAAGAAGGGTGAGGTGGTACCTAGGAGACGGGGGCCAGCATGGCCACACTTCACACTGCCTCTGTCTTGCGCACGTTAGAATGTAGCCGAGTGTGAGCTCGTCATATTCATCAAATGTATATTACGAGAGCTGAATGTTTATATCAATGCACAGTACAAAGTAATAAAAGCTAATAATTAGAGAATTTGATTTCCTAAGCTAGTATGCCTGATAAGTATGGCATTAAGCATTTTAAATTAATATATCATGCAACAACGATTACTCAAACACTGATCCAAGTGTGCGGAAAAACCCACATGTGAAAAATATAGAATGCTAGAACTTGTTTTGTACCCTCTCAAAACCAAATGTTCCTTCTTGTATTAAAAAAAACTATATTTTGTTCGGTAATAAATCCTCCGATCAAATTAATCTAAGAATTAACAATATCCATATTAACAACAAGGTAGATAGTAAATTCCTTGGTGTTCTTATTGATAAGCTGAATTTCCAGTACCACATTCAAAATTATAGCTAAAAAAGTTTCTAGAACAGTGGGTATTCTTTAATATATCATACATACTACATTTTCTTAAATGTATGATTTACAATTTTCAAGTTAAAAAAACGTCATCTTTCATATTATACAAAAAAGGAACTAATCATATGAAAATGAAACTTTGATATTAATAAAGAAATACAACAGGAAGGAAGAGCAGCTATAGTGGTACCAGTATAGTGAGGGGGCGGTACCACTGTATGGCGCCGACCCTCAGGTGATGAGGCTCCAGCGGGGACCAAGCCTCACCACAAGCCTCTTCCCCGGGCTTGTGGTCGGTGCATGACCCCTTACAAGCACTGCCGGTCCTCGGGCACCGTGATTTATGCACCTCCTGGAAGTATAGTAAACAAATACCTATAAGTTCCAATATATAGTTTTTTCTGAGTTATCCTACTTTTGCCCGAAACGTTTTGCAGGCTTATTTAACATACAACCTTTGTACATTCAAGTATACCTCTATTATACTCTTAGGTGTGCATATTTTATGAATAAAATACCATTACTATTATTATTATTATTATTGGAAGGAAGATTCCCAGTTACCTCTCAAATGAGTAAAATTAGATGGCAGAGTTCATGATAGGAGTATGTACTGTACTAGGCTTATTATAATGTGTGTTCGCTTCTGTGTACTCACCTAGTTGTGCTTGTGGGGGGGGGGGGTTGAGCTTTGGCTCTTTGGTCCCGCCTCTCAACCGTCAATCAACTAATCTGTATTGGTGTACAGATTCCTGAGCCTATTGGGCTCTATCATATCTAAATTTGAAATTGTGTATGGAGTCTGTCTCCACCACATCACTTCCTAATGCATTCCATCTGTTAACTACCCTGACACTGAAAAAGTGTGTGTGTGTGTGTGTGTGTGTGTGTGTGTGTGTGTGTGTGTGTGTGTGTGTGTGTGTGTGTGTGTGTGTGTGTGTGTGTGTGCGCGCACACGCGCGCGCGTTACGGCAAACGTCAGTAATTTTTGTTAAGAAATGCAATGCTGCAATTTCTGAGACTGATAAGTTAATTAATATTGATTATAGATCTCAAGACGCCATGCATGTTTCTTATCCACTCTTCAACGCATTGAAGATAAAAAAAAATCCCACATCTCTTACCATAAACAGTCCTTCCCCCCCCCTCCCACCTGAGACACGCAATAACACATTCCAAACCTCTATATCTGCAAGTCTGTCCTTGAGACGCTGACGTCCGTCCAGGGTGAGGGACTTGAAGGCCTCCAGTATGGGACGGTAGCCCGTACACCGGCACAAGTTGCCGTCCAGCGCCTCCTCCACCTGCGACGACCTCAGGCTTCCTGACGCCTTCAGTTGTCTGTAAAGGTTCCAATCTTAACCTAATGCTCGGCGCCAGACTTTACACCATTACTGAAGTGTATTCAGTTATTTACTTAAGTATTGCTTCGTTATACACACACACACACACACACACACACACACACACGCTCGAAAGGCGGAATCCAAGAGTCAATGCTCGATCCTGCAGACACAACTAGGTGAGTACAACTAGGTGAGTACACACACACACACACACACACACACACACACACACACACACACACACACACACACACAACACACACACACACACACACACACACACATACAGGTTGAATTCCCAGCCGAGGCAGAAATGGGAAAAGTTTACATCACCTGATGCTGTTCACCTAGCAGTAAATAGGTGTCTGAAAGTTACTCAGCTGTTGCGGTCTTCATCCTTGGAATGTATTCATTTAGTTGTGCTTGCGGGGGTTGAGCTCTGCTCTTTCAGTCTGCCTGTCAACTGTCAATCGATCAACTGCTACTAATTACTAACTATTTTTTCACACACACACACACACACACACTGGGAAGGTGAAGCTGGAGGAGGCAGAAGTCACACTACAGCAAGCTCCTGGAAATATCGAATTACCTAAGTATTGGGAACAGGTTGAGGGCTACAGTGGTGTCCCAGGTTACATGAAGGTTCAGGGAAGAGTAAAAGCAAATAAAATACAATAAACAAGTAAAAGTGAGTGAAAATAGCCGAGTGGAAAAGTTTGTTTTGGTCTAGAACAAAATCAAAGATGGCCGCCGCCACCACCCCCACTGAGAATGTAGACACACCAACAGATGATGGTTTCAAAGGATTCTCAACACAAGATATAAGGAAAGGAGGTGTTCTTGGCAGGTTAGAGATAATTGAGGACATGCAAATGAAGTATGAAGAAAAAGTGCTTAAATTAGAAGAGGACAATGGAGCTCTTTGGAGTGAGCTTTGCACTCTAAAAGGGAGTATGCTTCAACAAGGTAAGATTATTACTGCATTAACAGACAAGGTAACAAATCAGGAGGAGCAAATCAAGGAACTAGTGAAAGAAAATGAGGCATGGAAAGTGAAGTGTGGTGACTTTGAAGAAATAAACAAAAAGATAGACTCATATGGTGAACAACTCCAAGCAAGCCTAAGGGCTAACATAGAGTTAGGTAAGGATCTCCAACTGGAAACTTCACTGACAACTCACATAGAGGAGGTGAATAAAGAACTAGAAAAGTATAAAGAAGAAATAAAAGCGACATATGCTGAAGTTGTAAAAGAGAAAGAGACTATCAAAGAAGTGTGTTCGGAAGTCAAAACCAGAAATGACCAACAAGAAGCAGAAATTAGGCAAGCAATTAGGAAAGAACTGGTTACCAACAGTAAACTGGTACAAAACACTGCAGATAGAACTAAGTCCATAATCATTTTTGGATGTTTAGAGAAGGAAATTTCATCTAGGGTGGACCGAGCGGCAGAAGAGATGAAAATCATAGAGAAAATAGTAGGTTTAGGAGAAGGCTCAAAGGAAAATGTCAGTGATTTTAGAAGAATAGGAAAATATGAGAAAGAAAAGAACCGCCCCTTAAGGGTGACCTTTAATGGAGTGAAAAACATGATGGAAGTGCTAAGAAATGCCAGGAAACTGCAGAGTGATGAGGTTGGCAAATCTTGGTCAATAAGACAAGACCTCTCCAAGGAAGACAGAGAAAAGCTGAAAATGAACTTAATTGAGGCAAAACGGCTAAATGGGGATAGAAATGAAGAAGACAGAAATTCTTTTTTTTACAAAGTGACAGGGACTGGAAAGCTTGTGAAATGGTACATAAAAACAAAGCAACAAGATCAGTAGTGGAAGGGGGAGTAAAGAGCAAGTAAAAGGGAACATGTTCCTGAAAATTGTATATACCAACATAGATGGAGTGAGGTCAAAAACTTTGGAGTTGCAAGATATAATCCAGCTTAGGGTCCCAGATATTGTTGCATTATCAGAAACGAAACTTGAAGGAAATATAATAAATGAAGTCATATTCCCAAGAGGCTACTCAGTTTGGAGACGTGACAGGAAAACTAGGAAGGGAGGAGGAGTGGCTGTACTGGTGAAAAAACACCTGAAGGTAAAAGAGTTAATATTTGAAAACCCTCGAGATATTGACATAATGGCATTGCAGGTCTGGAATCAGGATGATAACCTGATAATTGTAAATACCTACAGCCCACCAGCAAGCAACACGTGGACAAAGGAAGAACTGGATGACAAACGAGAGGGCCTCATAATGGTCATGAGAGATATTATTGTACAAGCAGATAAAGATAAATCACGACTGTTGATACTGGGGGACTTCAACTTTAGAGCAATAGACTGGGAGGCCTATGAAGCAAGAACGGAGGACTTTTGGACATGCAGATTTGTGAACCTCATTCTGGAGACATTCTTGTATCAACACATAAAGCAAGCCACAAGAATGAGGGAAGGAGATATACCGTCAGTACTGGATCTAGTATTCACCAGGAAAGAAGAAGAGATTTTTGACATCCAGTACCTTCCTCCCTTGGGAAAGAGTGATCACGTCCTGTTAGACATTAAATATGCTTTAAGATATCATCTAGAAGAAAATGGGGACATTGAAACAGTTGATAAACTCGATTTAAAGAGAGGCAACTATGGGGAACTTCGAAATTTTTTTAATGAGTGTAATTGGACAGAATTGTTGCTAGGCAGGGAAGTAAATGAAATGTATGCCAAATTTTTAAAACTATACGAGGAAGGCACACAAACATTCATACCAAAACAGAGATGCAGGACCAGAAAACAGGATTGGTTCGACAGAAATTGTGAGAGGGCAAGAGACCAAAAGACACAAAAATGGAATCAGTATAGGAAGAGGCCAAACCCCCAAACATACCAGCGATACAAAGATGCGAGAAACAATTATACAGCAGTAAGGAGAGAGGCAGAAAGAAATTTTGAAAAAGGGATAGCAGATAAATGTAAAACAGAACCGGGCCTATTCTACAAATTCATAAACAACAAATTGCAGGTAAAGGATAATATCCAGAGGTTGAAAATGGGAAACAGATTCACGGAAAATGAAAGGGAAATGTGTGAAACATTAAATGAAAAGTTCCAAAGTGTGTTTGTACAAAATGAAATCTTCAGAGAACCAGACACAATAAGAATTCCAGAGAACAACATAGAGCGGATAGAGGTGTCTAGAGATGAAGTGGAAAATATGCTAAAGGAGCTCGGGAGGAACAAAGCAGCTGGCCCAGATGGCGTTTCACCATGGGTTCTGAGAGAATGTGCATCTGAGCTCAGCATTCCACTTCACCTGATCTTTCAGGCATCCCTGTGTACAGGAATCGTAGCAGACGTGTGGAAACAGGCTAACATAGTTCCAATCTACAAAAGTGGCAGCAGGGAAGACCCCCTCAATTATAGACCTGTATCATTGACAAGTGTAATAGTGAAAGTATTGGAAAAGCTAATCAAAACTAAATGGGTAGAACACCTGGAGAGAAATGATATAATATCAGACAGACAGTATGGTTTTCGATCAGGAAGATCCTGTGTATCGAATTTACTCAGTTTCTATGATCGGGCCACAGAGATATTACAGGAAAGAGATGGCTGGGTTGACTGCATCTATCTGGACCTAAAAAAGGCTTTCGACAGAGTTCCACATAAGAGGTTGTTCTGGAAACTGGAAAATATTGGAGGGGTGACAGGTAAGCTTCTATCATGGATGAAAAATTTTCTGACTGATAGAAAAATGAGGGCAGTAATCAGAGGCAATGTATCGGAATGGAGAAATGTCACAAGTGGAGTACCACAGGGTTCAGTTCTTGCACCAGTGATGTTTATTGTGTACATAAATGATCTACCAGTTGGTATACAGAATTATATGAACATGTTTGCTGATGATGCTAAGATAATAGGAAGGATAAGAAATTTAGATGATTGTCATGCCCTTCAAGAAGACCTGGACAAAATAAGTATATGGAGCACCACTTGGCAAATGGAATTTAATGTTAATAAATGTCATGTTATGGAATGTGGAATAGGAGAACATAGACCCCACACAACCTATATATTATGTGAGAAATCTTTAAAGAATTCTGATAAAGAAAGAGATCTAGGAGTGGTTCTAGATAGAAAACTATCACCTGAGGACCACATTAAGAATATTGTGCAAGGAGCCTATGCAATGCTTTCTAACTTCAGAATTGCATTTAAATACATGGATGGCGATATACTAAAGAAATTGTTCATGACTTTTGTTAGGCCAAAGCTAGAATATGCAGCTGTTGTGTGGTGCCCATATCTTAAGAAGCACATCAACAAACTGGAAAAGGTGCAAAGACATGCTACTAAGTGGCTCCCAGAACTGAAGGGCAAGAGCTACGAGGAGAGGTTAGAAGCATTAAATATGCCAAAACTAGAAGACAGAAGAAAAAGAGGTGATATGATCACTACGTACAAAATAGTAACAGGAATTGATAAAATCGACAGGGAAGACTTCCTGAGACCTGGAACTTCAAGAACAAGAGGCCATAGATTTAAACTAGCTAAACACAGATGCCGAAGAAATATAAGAAAATTCACCTTCGCAAATAGAGTGGTAGACGGTTGGAACAAGTTAAGTGAGAAGGTGGTGGAGGCCAAGACCGTCAGTAGTTTCAAAGCGTTATATGACAAAGAGTGCTGGGAAGACGGGACACCACGAGCGTAGCTCTCATCCTGTAACTACACTTAGGTAATTACACTTAGGTAATTACACACACACACACACACACACACACACACACACACACACACACACACACACACACACACACACACACACACAGGAAGAAGCCCGCAACAGCTGTCTAACTCCCAGGTACGTATTTACTGCTAGGTAACAGGAGGCATCAGGGTGAAAGAAACTCTGCTTATTTCGTTTCTGCCATCACTGGGGATGGCAGATGTGTGTGTGTGTGTGTGTGTGTGTGTGTGTGTGTGTGTGTGTGTGTGTGTGTGTGTGTGTGTGTGTGTGTGTGTGTGTGTGTGTGTGTGTGTGTGTGTGTGTAAGAAAAATATATGTAGTAGGCATAATTGAGAAAATCAGGTCAGGAGTGAATACATTAGCCAACCGACCGTTAGAAAGACGGTCCAAGAACTAACAAGTCGATGCTGGAGCTACAAATATAAAATATAGAGTATATGTACACTGAGTACCAGGCTGTGGTGGATATGTGGGATATGTTGGCCATCGGGCCGCTCCAAGCAACAGCCTGTTGGACCAAGCTCTCACAAGTCAAGCTTGGCACCGAGTCGGGCTTGGGGAGTAGAAGAACTTCCAAAACCCCATCATAGGTATCCAGCCGTACATATGTATTTGCAACAAGGTGGAAGCCGAGGAATAAGGCTTGCATGATGTGCACGACGGCATCAGTGGCATGCATGACTTATCAAGGTTAACGACGCAGCTAAATCAAGCAAGTAGCTTGCTAAATCAAGTAGCTAAAGCAGCTAATCAAGACGTTAATCAAGGTTAACGCCTGACCAAGTCAAGAGAGCAGAGATCTTCGATTTCTTCTAGACAAAATTCGTGACAGTCTTGGGCATCTTCCAGAGAATATCACAATATATCCCTTTGGAGAATTTGCAAGAGTTTATGTGGAACTACACAGTGGTGTAGTCCCATCCCGGCTGCTGCTTGTATCTCCTTCAATGTTGGTCTGGTATGTGGCGCCAACAGCCATAGAAAAGTCCAACAAATATACGCCAACTGTTACACTAGTACACATTTTCTACACAGTATCTAAGACCCTTGGTCTGAGACAAGTGTTTCATGAGCTTTCTCACAGGACCGAATTCTCGGCTGATTGAAACTGCCAGAGAGCCAAGGGTTTCCAGGTCTCTGTTTCAGAGCCTGAGTGAAGCGGCCCTGAGTGTCCGCTTCTACGGTTCCTGCTCGGACTCTGAGGCGCTCCAAGTTATTCACAACTTTTGATCATTGTAATCACAAGCTTATAACTCTCATAATAACAAATGACACCCCCTTAAAATAAGCGGAAGGGAGGGGGCGGGGGAGGGCAATTGGGAGAAAAGAACATAATCCTGCATTGCTTGCATGAAATGGCAAAATTACACTAATTTCCAATCTTGCTAAATGGGTAGTTAAGGGTAGGGAAGATTGTGTAAAAGGAAGTGTAGTGAGGGGGAGATGGAGGGGTTGTGTAGTGAGGGGGAGATGGAGGGGTTGTGTAGTGAGGGGGAGATGGAAGGATTGTGTAGTGAGGGGGAGATGGAGGGGTTGTGTAGTGAGGGGGAGATGGAAGGATTGTGTAGTGAGGGCTCACCCTCTGTGAGACCCTAATAACCCATCACAATCCGGAACAAGAAAATGTCATAATCACTCAAATCAAACAACAAACCAATACGGACATCCATCACAAAACAAGCAACACAGCCGTCATATAATACCAATGAAATAATCCCTACAGTTACGACCAAACAAAAATAAATAACTTTAAATGTCTTAATATGTTTACACCAGATAACTTTGAATATTGTAACCAATAAGAGAGGAGTGAGGCCGCCGCGCATCTTACCCATACATAGTCATGATCATCCCGGGGGAGCAGAACCCGCACTGCGTCCCGTAGAAGCCACTCAGAGCGGTCTGGAGTGAATGGTATCCTGAGTGGCGAGTACCCAGGTGCTCTATCGTCTCAATACTCCAGCCCGCGCAGGCATACGTCAGAATTTGACACTACGGAGAAATAATATACAATTTAGTGCATATATACACAAATACACACACACACATTATTGTATATATATATGAGAGTACAATCGCGCACTAATCAACGAAATAATAACTCATGTTTGTTGGAAAACAGAAGGAACGTTAACTGGTTATTTCAGGGCAGGTTAAGGCCACTCTGATGCCCTAAAAACTGCCCCAATATTGCTGTTCTCTCGGCACCATTATTGAGCTGACACGACACTGAGACTTAATAAACTGACCAACCATTAAGACTAAATCAGTACTGAAGGTGAAATAGGACATTAACTCCTGTGTCCCTCAATACCATTCCCGCACGTCTAAAAATACTTCATCTCTGAACTATTATATAAAATATATATTTTTCAATAAAACTGTAAAATAAGGGAAAATACACACATGTAACAATTTATTACAACTAAGTTCAGTCACCCTCTGAAAGATCAAAAGAGAAAAATAAGATCTTATATTATCTCTACTGAAATTATTATTATATTTAATAAATCCAATTATTTAATAAATATAAATATGGATTAAATAATTAAATATATAAATTCTTACATTTCCCTTGAGTGTATTATACAGGAGAAAACTGTGAAACAGCATACTCACAGCATCACCAGGGTACTCACAGCATCACCAGGGTACTCACAGCATCACCAGGGTACTCACAGCATCACCAGGGTACTCACAGCATCACCAGGGTACTCACAGCATCACCAGGGTACTCACAGCATCACCAGGGGTACTCACAGCATCACCATGATACTCACAGCATCACCAGGGTACTCACAGCATCACCAGGGTACTCACAGCATCACCAGGGTACTCACAGCATCACCAGGTGTACCCACAGTATCACCAGGAGTACCCACAGTATCACCAGGCTACTCACAGCATCACCAGGGTACTCACAGCATCACCAGGGTACTCACAGCATCACCAGGTGTACCCACAGTATCACCAGGAGTACTCACAGCACCACCAGGGTACTCACAGCATCACCAGGGTACTCACAGCATCACCAGGGTACTCACAGCATCACCAGGCTACTCACAGCATCACCAGGGTACTCACAACATCACCAGGGTACTCATAGCATCACCAGGCTACTCACAGCATCACCAGGGTACTCACAGCATCACCAGGCTACTCACAGCATCACCAGGCTACTCACAGCATCACCAGGCTACTCACAGCATCACCAGGCTACTCACAGCATCACCAGGGTACTCACAGCATCACCAGGGTACTCACAGCATCACCAGGGTACTCACAGCATCACCAGGGTACTCATAGCATCACCAGGGTACTCACAGCATCACCGGGGTACTCACAGCATCACCAGGGTACTCACAGCATCACCGGGGTACTCACAGCATCACCAGGCTACTCACAGCATCACTAGGGTACTCACAGCATCACTAGGGTACTCACAGCATCACTAGGGTACTCACAGCATCACTAGGGTACTCACAGCATCACTAGGGTACTCACAGCATCACCAGGCTACTCACAGCATCACTAGGGTACTCACAGCATCACCGGGGTGCTCACAGCATCACTAGGGTACTCACAGCATCACCGGGGTGCTCACAGCATCACTAGGGTACTCACAGCATCACCAGGGGTACTCACAGCATTAACACTGAAGGTGCTGGAGGCGCCGGGGTGCTGGAGGTCAGGTACCGTGGCCACCACGGTGCAGGCGCCACACCCACCGTCGCGACACAGTACCTTGGTCCCCACGGCCTTCACCGTCGTCCGCAGGAAGTCGACGAGCGTCGTCCAGGGCGGCACCTCGGGTCCCACTACACGACACCCGTCCATCGTTAATCATACACGTATATATGTGTCTATACAACCATACGCACATATATACAGATGTGTATATATCAAAATATATATATTTTAAGTTTGTAACACATTGGAAACATAAATTAATAAATGCTTATGTAAAATGTAAAGGTATTTACATTTTTACAATCAGGTATTTACGCAGTTAACAATTTATGGATAATTAATATGATTGTTGCTTCCAACATAGCGAGAAAAATCTGTAAATTATTATTTTTTTTGTTTCAGTTATTGTATTTTGTTATTCACTTACAAAATGTTCTTTGTTTCTTTGTTATAAGAAGTTCGCAACTAGAGAGTACTGTAAATATTTACTGTCTCCTTGCAACTTAAGGGAATAATTAGCCCTATTGCAACTTATCAGAGAGCTCCTCTTTTTGCAGTTATGAAACATCGATCTCTTGCCACTCTGAAGAGCTTGGTCTATTGCAACTCAGGGGAGCTTGGTCTATTGTAACTCAGGAGAACTGGGTATATTGCAACTCAGGAGAGCTTGGTCTATTGCAACTCAGGAGAGCTTGGTCCATTGCAACTCAGGAGAGCTTGGTCTGTTATATCTCGTGAGAGCTTGGTCTATTATATCTCTGACGAGCTTTGTCTATTGCAACTAAGGAAAGCTTGGTCTATTGCAACTCAGGAGAGCTTGGTCTATTGCAACTCAGGAGAGCTTGGTCTATTGCAACTCAGGAGAGCTTGGTCTATTGCAACTGAGGAGAACTGGGTATATTGCAACTCAGGAGAGCTTGGTCTATTATATCTCGTGAGAGCTTGGTCTATTATATCTCTGACGAGCTTTGTCTATTGCAACTAAGGAAAGCTTGGTCTATTGCAACTCAGGAGAGCTTGGTCTATTGCAACTCAGGAGAGCTTGGTCTATTGCAACTCAGGAGAGCTTGGTCCATTGCAACTCAGGAGAGCCTGGTCTATTGCAACTCAGGAGAGCTTGGTCTATTGCAACTCAGGAGAGCTTGGTCTATTGCAACTCAGGAGAGCTTGGTCTATTGCAACTCAGGAGAGCTTGGTCTATTGCAACTCAGGAGAGCTTGGTCTATTGCAACTCAGGAGAGCTTGGTCCATTGCAACTCAGGAGAGCTTGGTCTATTGCAACTCAGGAGAGCTTGGTCTATTGCAACTCAGGAGAGCTTGGTCTGTTATATCTCGTGAGAGCTTGGTCTATTATATCTCTGACGAGCTTTGTCTATTGCAACTCAGGAGAGCTTGGTCCATTGCAACTCAGGAGAGCTTGGTCTATTGCAACTCAGGAGAGCTTGGTCTATTGCAACTCAGGAGAGCTTGGTCTATTGCAACTCAGGAGAGCTTGGTCTATTGCAACTCAGGAGAGCCTGGTCTATTGCAACTCAGGAGAGCTTGGTCTATTGCAACTCAGGAGAGCTTGGTCTATTGCAACTCAGGAGAGCCTGGTCTATTGCAACTCAGGAGAGCTTGGTCTATTGCAACTCAGGAGAGCTTGGTCCATTGCAACTCAGGAGAGCTTGGTCTATTGCAACTCAGGAGAGCTTGGTCCATTGCAACTCAGGAGAGCTTGGTCTATTGCAACTCAGGAGAGCTTGGTCCATTGCAACTCAGGAGAGCTTGGTCCATTGCAACTCAGGAGAGCTTGGTCTATTGCAACTCAGGAGAGCTTGGTCTATTGCAACTCAGGAGAGCTTGGTCCATTGCAACACATGGAAGCTCTCGACCACTTGCCACTCAGACAGAGCACATTACCTAAAATAATTAAAAATTATAAAAGAGAAATGATGCTTACCAGAATAATTGACCCCATTAACCTTAAGGCGGATGCGTCGAGGAGGAAGGTCCCCTCCACCATCTGACGAGTCCCGGCTGGAGGCCATTTATGGGTGCTGCTGGTGGCGCCGGGTCACACTAGATCACCCTCACCTGTGATGGTAAGTTATATAAACTGAAATATAAACTCACGTATTTATATGGTAGAACATTATTGCCTTCGTTCTTCAAAACCTGTTGGTGTTCTGATTTGAGAATGGTCCAGGACGGACCGAAACGTCGTCGTCCCTTCACTTTCTAGTGTGTGGTCTGGTCAACATATTTCAGCCACGTTATTGTGACTCCATACACAGTTTCAAGTGTAGATATGATAGAGCCCAATAGGCTCAGGAACCTGTACACCTGTTGATTGACAGTTGAGAGGCGGGACCAAAGAGCCAGAGCTCAACCCCCGCAAGCACAACTAGGTGAGTATAACTAGGTGAATACAGAAAATCCGTTGAATCTGAAATGTGGGTTTAGTTGTCCATAGAATGCTTCAGAGATTTTAAAGCCGTTATCAACGCTGAATAAAAGTACAGTAAATCGTCTCCAGCTACGAATCGAACCCAGATCAAATCGCTCACTGTGCTGAAAAAGTACATATTTGCTTTATTGGTTTACTGACAGGAATAACACAAACTTGTAGAACATTACTATGAACCAAATCTGACCTGTAACTGGTCTTAACAACCAATTTTATCCATAATGTTCAGTGTATACCTTAACCTGGCTGATATGTTCCAAAACAGCGGTAAAGCACTCGCCCGGCGCTTCGCGAGCACTTTGGTCCGGGTTCGTATTCTGGCCGGGGAGGATTGACCGGGCGCCAACCCTTAACTGTAGTCTTTGTTCACCCAGCAGTGAATGGGTACCTGGTTGTTAAACGATTTGGCGGGTCGTATTTCGGGGAAAATAATGGGATTAAGGACCTGCCCAAAACGCTATGCATGCTAGTGGCTTTACAAGAATGTAAGAACTCTTGTATATATAAATAATAATAATAATAATAATAATAATAATAGTAGGCATCCTTCAGTCTCGGGAGACTATGGAGTTTATAATTATAATAATTAGAGTATTATTATTAATTGGAGTTAATAATAATAATAATAATAAAAACTATACTTTAGCGTAGCTGATGATCCACTTGTGTCAAGGACATAATTCCTTTTGTTTGGGATGGACACCTCTGTATACTTTAGGCTTGTATCAAGGATAAGATCGAACTACTGATTATTAAAAGGATGCAGCTCTACAACAGCTGACAAACTTTCCGGTGCCTATTTAGAGCTAGGGAATAGACGCATGAGGTGAAAGGAAACGTGCCCTACCATTTGTGAGTAGAGAAGGTAGCCACTGTTGCTGCACTAGAACCTGGGTCCTCAGACCGCTACTGTTCCTAATTAATGTCAATGATCTACCCGAAGGAGTGAGTTCGTACAAGTCAATGTCGGCAAACGATGGAAAGATAAGAAGGAAAGTACAAATAGAGGAGGACTGTAGCATGTTACAGGAAGACCTTAACACACTCCAGGAGAAGGCAAACAAATGTAGTTTAATCTTAAGTGTAAGGTAATAAAGTTGGGGAATGGAGAAGATAACCAGAACAAGCAAGAGAGAGAGAGAGAGAGAGAGGGAGAGGGAGAGGGAGAGGGAGAGGGAGAGGGAGAGGGAGAGGGACAGAGAGAGAGAGAGAGAGAGAGAGAGAGAGAGAGAGAGAGAGAGAGAGAGAGAGAGAGAGAGAGAGAGAGAGAGAGAGAGAGAGAGAGAGAGAGAGAGAGAGAGAGAGAGAGAGAGAGAGAGAGAGAGAGAGAGAGAGAGAGAGAGAGAGAGAGAGAGAGAGAGAGAGAGAGAGAGAGAGAGAGAGAGAGAGAGAGAGAGAGAGAGAGAGAGAGAGAGAGAGCGCGCAGTAGGCGGGGCAGGAAGAGCTAGACCTCACTTTCCTGTAGTCACCCGTAGGTAAGCACGGAATACAAGAATTCTTGCCCTGTAGTACGCCTGTAGACATGCAAGTTACAGCGGATATAGATTTATCGCTTTAAAAACCCTTAAAGGCAACAGAAAGGATGAGTGACGCTGCCCAATAAACTCGCCCCTCGGGGCAACATTAACAAAATAAAAGCAAGAAGGCATGTAGTAAGATCATGGGCCTCACAGACCAGCCCAGAAACACCCACAGCGCCTCCCGCCAGCACAGCAACACGCTCCTATATATATATATACAACAACAACAAACAAAAGGGCTTCTATTTACGAACGATAAACAACCCATATATTACAGAGTATCAATATAGAAATATAGTTCTTACCGGAGTGAAGTGACTGGGAGTGTGGAGGGAGAATGGAGGGAGAGTGTGAGTGTCGCCCTTGAGTGAGTCTTAACAAGACCTTGTTGTGTTGCTACTCGCCACACTCTTGCCACACGCTGCTCCTCTAGTATATCCTTTAATCATACACGATATATATAATTATATCTATATATATTATTTGTTATATTTATATATATTAATAATAATACTAATTATTATTATTATCGCTTTATGGAGGGTAGACAGGCAGCACATGTATATATATTTTTGTATTAATATGCTTGAGAATCCACAGCAATATGCTGGTACCCTATTTTATATAATTATAATTAATCATAATATACGAAGGAGTACAGTATATATAAAAAAACTAGATATAAGTTCGTCTTATATCCCCATCTTACAGGATGGTTATAGTCAGAGTATACATATATGCTAGGCTTATATCAAGGTCCCAGCCCGTCCTCCAAAAATGGGGAGGTAAATGTAACAGCACAAGTGCAATAATGTACTATTCATAGCAGTCAGGAATTGTACTTATTTTCATTTATTAAACCGTACTGTCAAATATATTGTGAATATTTGAATTTACCTGAAAAGCTGAAGAGAAAACCACGACCTAACCTAACCTTCTTAGGGTTTGAAGATAAGCATTTTATTGGTTCTTAATAACAATTAATTACTTAACCTATAGCTATATTGATATTACAGATTTATTAAGCTAATAAAACAAAACTAAAATTTATCAATAAATTGTAAAGTAGCTCAGGATATTTTAAAATTTTGTATAAAATCTCTATTGTTTAATAAAACTGAAAAATAAATTCCGGATATTTAAAACTTATGTATAGTGAATTGAACTTTAAAACCTCATCCTAAAATTCTGAGTGTCTTAATAGAAAAAGAGGAAAATGGGTAGGTAAATGTAACAGCCCCATAAGTGCAATTATGTACTATGTATGACAGTCAGGAAATGTACTTATTACACTTAGTATTAAACCGTACTTTCAATTCGAAGGATGGGTTCCCTGGAAATACAAACCGAAACTGTCTCTATTTTCCGCTTGTTACAACTTGTAATAAAGTTGTTACATCTTGGCTTAACGTGTTTATGACGTATTAGAACGTTGTTACAACTTGCTATATTGGTTGTTATAACTGGTTAGGTGTTAAAACTTGTCCGAACGTTGTACCAAGGGCAGGTGGAGCTACTGACCCTCCCCAGGATGCAACCCCACAACAGCTGACTCGCTCCCGTGTACCTATTTACTGCAAGGTGAACAGGGATATTAGGTGACAAGAAACGTTACCACCCATTTTTCCCGACCGGATTCGAACCCGGGATTCCCGATTGAGTCGAGAACATACCAACATAGAGCATCAGTCAGCACACAAGGGTCCCGGTAGTGCAGTCGGGTTTGTTCTCGACACATAATCGAGAATGCCGGGTTTGAATTCCGGGCGGGACAGATGTGGTTGGGCACATTTCCTTTCACCTAATGCCTCTGTTCACCTAGCAGTAAGTAGGTACTCACGACTTACTCACCTTGTTGAGGGGTTGCATCCTGGGGAGGGTCAGTAATTCGGCCTTAGTGGGGGGGGGGTGACCTCGATATAAGCCTAACCTGTATGACTACACTCTGGCTTCCTGTCCCGACACAATGAATTATTATTATTATTATTTGTATTTTTATTAAGAGAGGTGAGTACATAAGAACATAAAAACCAAAGGTAACTGCAGAAGGCCTATTGGCCCATACGAGGCAGCTCCTATTTATAACCGCCCAATCCCACTCATATACATGTCCAACCCACACTTGAAACAATCAAGGGACCCCACCTCCACCACGTTACGCGGTAATTGGTTCCACAAATCAACAAGCCTGATATTGAACCAGGTATTTACCCAGTATTTAAATTACACGGGCGTAGTACTCACAAGCGAGGCACTGTGAGTACCTGGCCTGTGAGTACCTGGTCTGAGAGTACCTGGTCTGTGAGTACCTGGCCTGTGAGTACCACGGTGGAGAGCCATCCACTGATGGGTCTCCACCGTTATCTTGAGATGATTTCGGGGCTTTTTAGTGTCCCCGCGGCCCGGTCCTCGACCAGGCCTCCACCCCCAGGAAGCAACCCGTGACAGCTGACTAACACCCAGGTACCTATTTTACTGCTAGGTAAAATAGGTACCTGGACCACAGGATCACAAGTGCAGCGTGCTGTCCGCTCGGCTCCTTTCACCGTGGACGAAACCCCAGTATCGTCCCTCTTGTTTTGCTTGACTTACCATCGTTCACCTTTATCTTCGTGGCCAGTCTCGTGTTACCAGGTGGTGTGGCCGGCGACGGCAGAGGGGGACACATGACCGGCATTATTTGGTTATTGTCTCTAATGATCCTTATACTGGCACATGAGCAGCGCCGCGCGCCTCCCCACTGGTCTCTTTGTTTACATATGAAACGCATCTGCGAAGAAAAGCTAGCATCATTTAGTCTGAACACGACTATTGCGTGTCTCGTAGCCATTGTGTCGACTGTATATCTGCTCACCTAGTTATGTTTTGCGAGGGTTGAGCTTCGGCTCTTTGGTCCCGCCTTCTCGACTCTCAATATCTGGGAGTGTTAGGGAGCGCTACGGCGTGTCTGGAGCCTAGTTGTGGTTAGGCTACTCTGTGTAATCTATAGTTTTATGAGTAATGTTTTGTCATCTAGAATGATCGTATTTGGGACAACATTTCGTTTATACATGTGTTGCTGGGGCATACATGTGTTGCTGGGGTATACATGTGTTGCTGGTATAACCGAGAGCTGTGGTTATCGGCATTAGTGTAAAGTAACCGTCGTGAAAGCCCATCGGATTGGAGATCAATGTTTTCATTTGTGTGCAATAAACCATAAATTTAGTTTCGTAATTAAGTCGTGGAGGTGTGACCTCAGTGGACTCCTTATTCCTGACATATATTGTGTTTGCGTGAGTGTTGTCGATATAGCACATGTGTATATAACAAAACGAGTCTTGCCTTTCTAACGTTTTATATATATGACAATCACTCAAATCCGTCGACGAAGTCTCTCACCAGGAGTCTGTCATAGACCCTTGTCTTGTGTGTTCTTCCGTACAATACGGGAGTCATAAGAAATTTCCTTAAGTGTCCTAAAATTTTGGTGGTTCAGAACCGCTTGTTGGGAAGACTAGATCATACGGGACGTCGACTACGTTGTACTGAAGGAGTAAAATTTTTGCTGTATGTGGTTTTTGATTTATGGGAGGGAGAGAGAGAGAGAGAGAGAGAGAGAGAGTGTGTGTACTCACCTAGTTGTGCTTGTGGGGGTTGAGCTTTGGCTCTTTGGTCCCGCCTCTCAACTTGTGTACAGATTCCTGAGCCTACTGGGCTCTATCATATCTACATTTGAAACTGTGTATGGAGTCAGCCTCCACCACATCACTGTCTAATGCATTCCATCCGTTAACTACTCTGACACTGAAAAAGTTCCTTCTAACGTCCCTGTGGCTCATGTGGGTACTCAGTTTCCACCTGTGACCCCTTGTTCGCGTCTCACCAGTGTTGAATAGTTTATCCTTGTTTACCCGGTCGATTCCCCTGAGGATTTTGTAGGTTGTGATCATGTCTCCCCTTACTCTTCTGTCTTCCAGTGTAGCAAGGTGCATTTCCCGCAGCCTTTCCTCGTAACTCATGCCTCTTAGTTCTGGGACTAGTCTAGTGGCATACCTTTGGACTGTGTGTGTGTGTGTGTGTGTGTGTGTGTGTGTGTGTGTGTGTGTGTGTGTGTGTGTGTGTGTGTGTACTCACCTAGTTGTACTCACCTAGTTGTGTTTGCGGGGGTTGAGCTCTGGCTCTTTGGTCCCGCCTCTCAACCGTCAATCAACAGGTGTACAGATTCATGAGCCTATCGGGCTCTGTCATATCTACACTTGAAACTGTGTATGGAGTCAGCCTCCACCACATCACTTCCTAATGCATTCCATTTGTCAACCACTCTGACACTAAAAAAGTGCTTTCTAATATCTCTGTGGCTCATTTGGGCACTCAGTTTCCACCTGTGTCCCCTTGTGCGTGTTCCCCTTGTGTTAAATAGACTGTCTTTATCTACCCTATCAATCCCCTTCAGAATCTTGAATGTGGTGATCATGTCCCCCCTAACTCTTCTGTCTTCCAGCGAAGTGAGGTTTAATTCCCGTAGTCTCTCCTCGTAGCTCATACCTCTCAGCTCGGGTACTAGTCTGGTGGCAAACCTTTGAACCTTTTCCAGTTTAGTCTTATCCTTGACTAGATATGTGTGTGTGTGTGTGTGTGTGTGTACTCACCTAGTTGTGCTTGTGGGGGTTGAGCTCTGGCTCTTTAGTCCCGCCTCTCAGCTGTCAATCAATCAACTGATCCCCCCCCACACACACACCCAGGAAGCAGCCCGTAGGAGCTGTCTAACTCCCAGGTACCTATTTACTACTAGGTGAACAGGACGAATGGACATGGATAGATGGTCCAGGACGGACCGAAACGTCGTCGTCCCTTCACCTTCTAGTGTGTGGTATGGTCAACATACTTTAGCTACGTTATTGTGACTCATCGCCTGCATATGGCTTCATACCCAACAAAAAGCACTAACGATGCACTGATAAGTATGATTAACTTGATACATGCAGCTCTTGATAAAAATGAATTCCCTGTTGGGTTATTTGTTGACCTACGTAAGGCTTTTGACACTGTCAACCACCAAAACCATCTTCTTAAATTACATCATTATGGAGTCAGAGGTCACTCCCTGCAATACCTTCAGTCTTACCTTAGTGACAGACTCCAGTATGTTTCTGTGAATTTCCACATCTCCCTCCCTACCTGTCAACATTGGTGTTCCACAGGGCAGCATACTTGGCCCTCTCCTCTTTCTCATCTACATTAATGACCTTCCACATGCCTCTCAACACCTCATGCTAATTTTATTTGCTGATGACACAACCTTCATTTTCTCCAGTCCGGACCCTCTTGCTCTAAGTGTCACAGTGAATACTGAGCTAAATAAAGTCCATCACTGGCTAACTGCTAACAAACTCATCCTTAACATTAACAAAACTTTCTACATTTTGTTTGGTAATGA